GTGAGTGTTGTTGAAAAGTCTGCTCAATCCCAATCCTTGCCCCCCCCCCCTCTGCCCGGTTGCCGTGCCGTGACGACTGCCAAACATTTTCGGTTGCCATAAAATGCACTCTCAATTGGAATTGGAAAACTTAAATTACTTTGAACTTATTGGTCCAGACACCCTAGTAGCATATTAGGATCTAATTGTGAGGTCATGTCAGAATCGCCACAAACCGTTATTGTCCGTCGGAATTGGCGAATACGCGGCCGGGAGCGAGATGCTAAAATTTGAATAAGCAGCTCATTGTCACGAACGTTGAGATTGATGACATGATGCGTGTCAGCATTGAATAACGAATATGTCTTTGTGTTTGGCCAAGCTGGTTCGTTCGATTTATTATCGGCGGTAGTCAGGTGCGATTAAGATTTGAGGTTGGAATTCGCTTGTGAAATTAAGGGTGTAGATTCGTGCTGTACTCACTAATTTGCATTGCGAAATCATTTGTAATATTGCTGTAGGAATTAATTGCGAAGTCGAAATCAATTATTGAATAGGTAAATACGGTTGAAAGGGAATGTAATGTTTTAAGGTGGCGACTGATTCATGCGATCGATCTATGAATATGGCTATGAGTTATGATTTTCGACAGATACGAATGCTTGAGCTTACGGCGGAATTTCTTCTGTTACTTAGGTGCAGAGTTGCGAGCAGTGGTTTGAGGTTGACGGTTTGACACTTAGCGACTTTAGATGGTCACTTTGCGTCATTGAAATTGCGAAATGTCGAGTAACAGGTAGATGTAGAATTGTTTGTGGTTAGAACTAATATGCGACTAATATAGGTGCCGATCGTTGTGCTTTTGTAGAATAAATACTAGAAAGGACCACCTTTGTTGGGGAACGATTAAATGGGACAGGAATTTAATTTAAAAAAAAACTTACGTTGAATGGAGCTGATGAGATGTCGAACAGGGAGATATTGCAGCGATATTTTACCAGATTCACACTCACTGACACATCCGGTGAATCCACCCGGCCAGAAGAGACAACACGCACGAGCATTGCACCGCGAGTGATGACGCGCCCATCGCGGCGTGGCCTTGACTGACTGTCGACGCGACGCCAGCCGGCGGCCAGTATCGTCGCTCTCGACGCGGGCGTTGAGCCGCCAGAGGGCGTAAAAAGCAGCCACAACAGGGGCAGTGGGTTAGCCGTAATTGGGGCGCGGGCGGTAGGTGAAGGTCATTGTATATAGGAGCATGGTTAGTTGTGGAAAGTTGCAACGGGGTAAGAACGTAAACAGTTAATGCATAATTTTAAATATGACATGCTATTTGATATTTAGGACTGCACTTCGTTTGATGCGCATTGTTTACTGCTAATAGGATGATTTAAAATAGATTCCCTATGAAAGGCTAGGGACCCTATGACAATATTCTGGCACTCTATAAAGATAATTTGTTTAGGTAACTAGTAGCCCATCAGAAGCTATCGAACGAGTTTCAAGGAGTCATTTCCGTTTGAGCATTCAGCAATTCACTATGATACGGTGGATCACAACCAGACGACAGATCGGTGCGTACTAATTGGTTCTAGATTATCTGATGAAATCAAGAGCGGTTCAAGGTCTGCTAGGATTGTTTACGAGAACTGATGATTAGGTTCACGCGTGCAGCAGCAATTAGGACTTGAGATTACGATTAGATGCGTTTCTGTTATTCGCGTTCTTGAGAGTTAGCGCCAATAATTACTCCACCAATATTGGCACAGGGCATTGTGAGGCACAGACGGCTTGTTTGCCCGTCTCCTATGGCGTAGCGTTTACCAGCATGACCGTATGAGACACAGATGCACTTCTCTAAACCCACGTCCAGACCGGAATAATAAGAGGGACACGCCGTCACGTACGCAGGGCATATGCACGTTTTCCGCCAGTGGTACCGGCCACTGTTAATTTTCCCGCTTAGGTAACACTGGGTGAGAAGGCAGTGAGAGGTTTCTACGGCAGGGGGAAGGGGAAGATTGGCACAGTGTGCAGTGGAGAGTAAGTTATGCCAAAGGCAAGAAGCCGAGGGTCAGGGGTGAGTCACCCAAAAGTGCGGATAAGGCGCGCCGTAGTGTCCCGAATAAGTCCTCATACTTATTTTGTAAAGGTACCTTAATCGGTACTGGACAGCCTCAGGGGAGGGAAGAATGTCCTCCAGGACACGTAAGGCCTTGAAGAGTAAATCCCATGGTTTAAGGAGAGTTCCTGAGGAGAGTTCCAGGATATGAACGGTGGTCCCTGGGTCGTGAACGGGAATGTTACACGCGGACCGGAAGAGGGCATAGGTAATCTCTCCCGGTAGAGAGATAAGTCGGATATAAATCGTGTATGTGTGTACCATAAGTCTATCGGACGTGTAGTGAATCCCATAAATTAGTAGGGTGGATATTTGTGTATAATTATTCTGGACGGCCCTGCGATAAGTATCTTTGTCGCCGGTTAGCGGAGCATGCATATGGATTTCGGAAAGAGACATTTATCTCGCCGGGGAGACCATGGTTTGTAAGACGCCTAACACTATCGGAGGGAATTTCGGGGGCTACCAATTAAATTTGGGTGAATACATGAAATGTGAACGTAATGCGAGCAAGGATGTGAGAATGATGACGCATGAATCTTAGAGTAAGGCCGATAGGAATTTGGTAGAATTCGGTTATGGCAGTCGAACAAATGATTCTCGAGGGCAACTAAACTAGCAACGCTAATACGAACTAAGCGGGCAATTTTTGTAATGGGGAGGCCAGTGATATAGGAATGGGTGACTGGACGAATGATCACATTCAATTAATCAATGTAATTACCACCCATATGTTTGGCAGTGGTCATCGGGACTTCGAATGCCCTGTCCTTCACCTGCCCAACTGTGCTGCAAACCCAGCTGATCGGATCCCTCTATCCCTAATCCGAGCAGTGAAGAAGCATCTCGTGCATCATGGTCTATACAATGAACAGAATCATCAAGCCTCCAATTTAAAAAGCATCTTCCATCAGATGTATTTGTACGCAAGGTGGATACTTACATCTCTATCCGGTGGATCTCATCTATCTCAGGATCTCATCACTATCTGGATCTCTCACTAGATCTATCTCGGGATCTCTTCAACGACTCTCAAGCTCCCCTGTTCTACCAGCTCTACTATCGAGTTCCTTCCAGCAGCGAATCTCTTTTCTGCTACACCGCCGAACAGCAGTGGACCGCGCTGTTTGATGAACCTCAAGATGCAGCTTTTTTATTTCTGTACTTTTCCTTCCCTTCATTCCCTTGCTACACAGGCACGAACTAAATGCATGCTGATGCCTGTCTTCTATGCAGACTGCTTTAACGTGTATTGTGATGTTCCAGCAGGCCCTTTCAGACCTGAGGGTTCATTTATGCCCTATTGTGCTAAATGTTGCAATATAAAAGTACAGTCCACAGCAGAAGTAATGTGGGGTTTCAGTCATGGGTATGTTCTGCTTCTGAAGCTTAGGAACGATTAGCCAGACTACAATGAAACTTTGAATGTAGCTTATATGTATCGTCACTCTTGCAGCTGCAACTTACGCTATTGACATCTTCTTTTCGATCACTCCGCATTAAACAATCGCCAGTCAAAGCCAACCGTTGATATTGGTAAAACCCTACATTACTTTAGCGGTGGGCTGTACAACTGTTCACCCTTGATAACAATCTCTTTATTATTTTATATATTACTTTTTGACCAGAGCCTTAACCCTCGCCGGCCGAGGGGGGGGGGGGTGCCGCCCCCCCCCCCCCCCCCCCCGAGGGTTTATTCGCGATAGCTGCGAACACGCTATTCACAGATCTGTATCCCACATCCTTCAATCCTCCTTATCCTTATCCTTCTCCTTGCCATAGTGTCTAGTTCATTAATCTCATATTCACCTCGGCTGAAAAGCCACGAATTGTGTGGATGCCGTTGTACGTATAAATAAATAAATAAATAAGATAAATAAAACGCTGGCGATAGAGAGCTGAAACTTGGCATACCTGACCTTTGATTCAAGCCGGATCTTTTGGCACCAACCGCATTTTTGGGTCAGGTCAGGCCACTGACCTATGACGTCATAAGTGAACCTCTGCACGGTCTTCAGATGTCGCAAGTTCGCAACGCCCTCAGCTCACTGCCAGAGGAGATGTCACAGGGAAATGAAACTTGCAGGATCTAGTATCCATTATGAGTCCCACAACTTGTATATCTCGGATTTTTCCTAAAGGTCATATGAGGTCAGGTCATTTTCGTGACCTCACCATTATAAGTCAATGGGGAAAAATGAAAACTGCTATTGGAAGGAACGATCGCCAGGAACGATCTCCAACTATCTCAAGCACACAGAATCGTGATTTGATGCACTCCTTGCAGGGTTAGATGCGTCACTTTTGCAATGTTGACCTTGCGTGACGTCATTTATGACGTCATCAAGGTCATATTAGTTTTTCGTCAATAACTCTTGATCAAATTGAGCTAACGAGTCGGGAAAGCCACCAATGGACTCAGGACGACCTACCGAATCGAATGATATGCGACATGACCTCTTTCGACCAACTTCGTGACCTGGGGGTGCTGACCTGACCTTGACCTGAGGTCAACACCCCAAGTTGACCTGACCCGGACAAAAAGTGTATCATTCGACGCGCCTGAGCGAGGCGAGCACGATGCTGCCAAAATCGCGGCTCTGCGGCCGTTTTTTGCGAAGTTATTTACCAAAAACTGAACCGTACCTTGGGGCACTTGACCTGACCTCAGAGGTCACCGGTTGACCTAGGACCTTAAAATCGGGTACCAATCTCTGCGTCTTGTAACGGCGCACACGCTCGTTTTTTCCGCGACGCGCTAGCTCCACCAGGGGCGAAACGGCGAGGGGGGGGGGATCGTACCCGCCCCCCCCCCCTCGGCCGGCGCGTACTCGTATGTAGAAAACCAATAAGTCCGGCGAGGGTTAATTTTAGGCTACGTACGAGTCATGATAAGTTTATACATCATAAACGAACGAGTTCAGCGAGTTTATCTGTGATTTGTCGGGAAAATATCAGTGTGAGCGAGCCCGCCCCGTGATGTCACGTGTCGTCGCCTGTTCCTGCTGCGATGCACCAGCGCTTAAACCAGATGCAGCGGACAGCCTGGTGACCTTGGCCGTAGCCGGTTCATGATGCAATATGTGTCACGAAACGCTCGCACCCTACTGCCGTGCCCAACATGACGCTGCAAAACGAGCGATATGCATTTGCCGGCGGCGGTAGGCGGCGAGTGTGTCTCGGACGGTGTGCGAGCGCGGTGCGGCGCGCTCCCAAGCGTTCGGTTCCGCTCCAGTCAACCCGTCACCCGACCAAAGGCCACGCCGGACCATGGCGTGTGTTGAGCGGGCCGGCGGCGGCGCCGTCTGGACCGAGCTGAGCCGCTGGGCCAACACCACCGCCGGCCGACGACTGGCCAAGACGCTGCTGGCCGCCGCCCTGCTCGGCGTCGGACTCAAACTGTGGGCCAGACGCCGGCGTCACCAGCGCCGCCAGCGCTGGAGCCAGGCCGGCAAGGACGTGGTGGTGCTGCACCAGTTTGAGCGTGGCACCAACATGCCCAACCTGTCGCCGTTTGCGCTCAAGCTGGAGACGTTCCTGCGCATGGCCAACATCCAGTACGTGGTCGACACGGAGGAGCCGCAGGGCGTGCGCGGAAAGTGTCCCTGGATCACCATCAACGGGGAGGAGCTGTCCGACTCGGAGCTCATCATGGACTACCTGACGAAACACTTCAACAACCCCATCCCCGAGCAGCTGACACCGGCTCAGCATGGCGTAGGACGTGCTGTCCAGGTCATGCTGGATGAACACACGACTCTAGCAGTTGGAAGGAAACGACGAATCTTAGAACAAATGGGGAACTCCATAGACTGTTTTCTCAAGGTGTACAGATCAGAGTGCGTTTTTAAGAAGCTTTTCGTCTCACTCATCAAGAAGAAGCTGTATGTGCGTGGCATGAGTGAGTACAGGGAAGAGGAGGCGCTCTTCTTCCTCTACCGGGAGCTGCGCGCGCTGGAGGACGTGATGGGCGACAGGCCGTTCCTGCTGGCCGACGCGCCCAGCACGTACGACGCGGCCGTGTTCGCCCAGCTGACCCAGGTGCTGCTCGGCTGTGCCCCGGAGGTGGAGCGCTACGTGCGAGAGAATCACGCCGTGCTGGTGGGGTACCACAAGAGGATGAAGGCCAAGTACTGGCCCGACTGGCAGCAGTGCCGCGCCTAAGAAGGATTGCTTTGGGTGAAGTGAAGCTGTGCGTTTGGTCAGGTTCGTGCAAGTTGGGTGTAATGTGCATTACCGCATTGTGCACTGTGCAGTATATGCCTGTTATATTAACATAAGATTTTGACTTGACCGGCTCCCAAGTGCAGGATGCAATGCTTTTTAGTTTGGTTGGTATTTAGGTGCCAAATGGACCCACAGACCGTCGTATAATTTATCTGATACTGTTTTCGCGTTTTTTCTTTTTGGTAAATAAATGAGTCTTTCACAGTTTACCACCACCAATTATTGCCAGCTGACAAAGAAGAAAATATCGAATAAAAATAAACAAATAAATGAATAACGTACGTTTTTAAAACAAGGAGAAGTTTGAAATAATTTTCAGAAGTTCTGTGTCTTCACCCGGCGAAGATCGAAGGGCGGTTTGAGGTTTGCTAGACACTTCGACACCGTGGCGCTCGTTTCCGACGTTTCCTGTGACATTTAATGGAAACATAAACTTTGCAGGGTTTGTGGAACCCGAGGCAATTTTTTGCCTTGCCCGGGACCCTGTGCAACTTATGAGTTTCTTTAAGTTTCTGTTTTTACGTTAGTTTTGTTTTAGCTGATGACTCGCATCAAAATAACGCTTAAACAATATATAATTAAAGCACGAGTGTTTCGCGCGTCCATTCGCATTTTATTATGTCTTCTTCATTGCTAGCTTTACTCAACTGTAGGAAGCTCAGCTCATTAGTTAAGTATGTTTGTATCGGTGTCGACATATCAGCGACTTCAGTACACCGTCATGCTTATCATCATCATTAATTTCATCACAATTACCCCTAACTGGACAGCCCGACCTGGTAGTCTCATAGGCATTGCTACGCTGATGGATTTTGTGCTCACTGTCATCATTTCATCTGTATTGTAGCTATAATAGCGACTTGCTGGAATATAAACCAAGCGTATTTTCATAGATACCTACATTTGGTCAAACTACCTATCGTTTCTCCAGAACCATTTTTTTTTCTGTACCACTCAATATATCCACAGTCCACGTCATATGTCACTGGGACAGCCTCCAAGCAGCTACTAGGCTTTCCCCAGGCATTTAACCCTGCCAAATAAGTGATGTTCTTAACTTTCTTCAAAAGCCCCCTCCCCTCTCGTGCGGTGCATCCTTCCCCGTGTGTGTGTGTGTGCGTTTTTTATTTTTTTTTTTGGGGGGGGGGGCAAGTGTGAATGTGCAGGCATTTGGCAAGGAAGGGGCGCTTTCTTCGGTAACGTTACTTCAGTTGTACACATTTAGTCACAAATAATCGGCTGTCGGCATATAACTTGATGCCTCATCATACAAAGATAGTGTATCTATAACATACGTGTACCTACCGTGGAAACATTGGATAGGTATGGTAGAAATAATTGTAATGCATGGATGATGCATACCTATAGGGTTCAGTCTCAGTAAAATGAAATCTAATGCACAGTTAAGTATATGAAAATCGAAAAACTATCCTACCTCGTGGGTATCGCCCACTCTTGAATTCGTCATAGGGATGAAGGGATTTTCAGTGCCCAAGTGTTGTCTGAATGCTGACAAAGTAGGCGCCAACACTTTTTACTAATTAGCAATTTTCTACATGTTGGTAACAAGTTTCCCAGAAAAGTCAAGACAGAGTTAAAAACACTGTATTTGTAACAGTTTATTGCAACTAATTGGCATGAAACGAGAAGTATGAAATACATGACGGAATAAAGGAGTGATATAACCCTTATCGTCGTGGGGGGGGGGGGGGGGGCAAGGGTTACGTAGGCGCCGACGGTTGGCTGTTTTGCCCCGAGCCGGATGGTTAGCTGTCGCCGTGAGACTTCACTTTGACGTATTCCTATGACTCTTAGTCGGCGCGGCACTGCTGCCAGTCGGGCCAGTACTTGGCCTTCATCCTCTCGTGGTACCCCACCAGCACGGCGTGATTCTCTCGCACGTAGCGCTCCACCTCCGGGGCACAGCCGAGCAGCACCTGGGTCAGCTCGGCGAACACGGCCGCGTCGTACGTGCTGGGCGCGTCGGCCAGCAGGAACGGCTTGTCGCCCATCACGTCCTCCAGCGCGCGCAGCTCCCGGTAGAGGAAAAAGAGCGTCTCCTGTTCATTGAAGCGGCCTATGCCATTGACGTAGAAGAACTTTTTCAGTGGAGAGAGGAAAAGTGGCTTCAAGATGCGTATGCCGTTTCTATATCTTGATGGGAAACAGTTCATGATGTACGACATGTTGTCGAGGATGTAACGCTTGTAGGCGACAGCGAAGATGGTATGTTCATCCAGCATGACCTGGACAGCACGTCCTACGCCATGCTGAGCCGGCGTCAGCTGCTCGGGGATGGGGTTGTTGAAGTGCTTCGTCAGGTACTCCATGATGAGCTCCGAGTCGGACAGCTCCTGCCCGTTGATGGTGATCCAGGGACACTTTCCGCGCACGCCCTGCGGCTCCTCCGTGTCGACCACATACTGGATCTTGGCCATGCGCAGGAACGTCTCCAGCTTGAGCGCGAACGGCGACAGGTTGGGCATGTTGGTGCCACGCTCAAACTGGTGCAGCACCACCACGTCCTTGCCGGCCTGGCTCCAGCGCTGGCGGCGCTGGTGACGCCGGCGTCTGACCCACAGTTTGAGTCCGACGCCGAGCAGGGCGGCGGCCAGCAGCGTCTTGGCCAGCCGTCGGCCGGCGGTGGTGTTGGCCCAGCGGCTCAGCTCGGTCCAGACGGCGCCGCCGCCGGCCCGCTCAACACACGCCATGGTCCACTGAGGCCTCTGACCGGGTGACGGGTTGATGGGAGCAGAACCGAACGCTTGAGAGAGCGCCGCACCGCGCTCGCACACCGTCCGAGACACACTCGTCACTGGCCACCGCCCCAACCCGTCGGATTCACCGGCACCCCGGCCCCCCGGCGATGTCGACCGCATCCATTGCGCACGCGCGCCGGTTACAGTGACGTCACGTGTCCTCGGCTTGGCGAAGGTCACCAGCGCTGGTGTTTCTCGCCTCCGACTCTCCCCTCCCGCCTCCCACCACCCCCCTCCCTCTGGCCCCGGCGGGCGGCAGTAGATCAACAATAAACGTCGCCAGGGATTGTCTTGAGGTATGCGGAACAGGGACCGGCGCATTTTTCTGGGAACCGGAGCTGTCATATTTGAGACGGCTCCGGCTCCCAGTGAGATTTTTTCTCAAGCGAAAGTGCGAATTGTTAACCTAAATGTCCCGTGAGAATTGTAAGCAGAATTATATATTTTTTGCTGCATTTTTGAAGAGCGACAATCCACCGACGCCGCTACTGTTTATATGAGCTGAGGATGTGTAACATCAAACATGTTAGTGTAGCGGCCGGTTGTTCGCTGAACAGAGGCAATACACACTCCGGGCGCTATTGGTCCATTCATTTATCCCGTGAGGACGGTCCCGTGAGATGTTCTTTGTGCGTTTTTGGAGCGTGGCCACCTCGGGCGGGGTGTGCCAGTGGCTCGGGTGACGGGCGGGGTATGGCGGTACCTCGGGTGAGGGGGGGGGGGGATATGACAGTAGCTCGGTCGACAGACGGTATATGTCGGTAGCTCGAGTGACGGACGGTGTATTTCTGTATCTCGGGCAATGGGCGGGGTATGGCGGTATCGGAGTAACGGGCGGTATGTGACATTCTGTTGTGCTATAATCATGGGCTGAATTTACTAGCCCGATGAGAGACCAGTGCAGTATCATCCCCACCTACACCTCATCTACGACCCTTGTCTACCAATGACCAGCGCAAGTCTCAACCCTCTCGCCCCCAAACCCGAAAAATCATCATCTACGAGTCGTAAATTCGTAGACTGCGAACCCCTGACTCCCCCTCCCTCCGACAGGCGGACCCCAGCGACAGCATCAACGAGGCGGACGGCCTGCTGGAGTCGCCGGCCGCCGGTGGCGAGCCGCCGCCGGCCGACGAACCCTACTCGGGACTGCGTGCTCAGGACCTACAGGAGGCCAAAGATCAGCTGCTGGTGGAGGCGGCAGATATGCTGCACGTGCCACTGTTCATCGCTGACGCCCTGCTCCGAGACAATGGTGAGGGAGGGGAGGGGGTGTAAGAAGGGACCCTGTGGTGGACTGGTTTGCAGTGCGGAGGCTTGCGGAGACAGTGTGGACTGGTTTGCATGACATAGAGAGACTTTGTGATGGAGATGTAAAGTAGGAACACTGGTATGGTATGGTGTGGCGATGAAGTGCTTTTTTTTTGTGAAAGTTCGCTGAGCAGTAACTGGACGAAGTCATAATATGTTCATAATAAGTTACGGCATCGCACGTAAGATTTGTCATCCTAAGATGTGGTTGCGAACATTTACGCTTCTTCAACATTGTTCCTTTGTCCAAAAGCTGCAATTACTGTGATTGCTTGTCAACTGTGAATGTGCTTCCTCACATACCACCGCCCTGTCAATCGATAATCGATAGTACGGTTAACTGTCTGATGTCACTGTCACGTCTGTCGCCCCCGTGTCACCCTCGTGTCACCCCTGTGTCACTATCACCATGTCTCCTCCCACTCCCGTGACAGACTGGTCCAAGACTCAGCTACTGGAGCGCTGGATCAACAGCCCGCTCGAGTGCTGCGAGTCGGCCGGCGTGCAGGCGCCTGCCTCGCTGGCCGGCGGGTCGGTGGTCTCACCGCTCGATCAGAAACTGATCTGCGCCGATCAGCAGGACAGCGGATTGATCACGGTGAGGGTCGGAGGGGGGGGGGGATCGTGGTGGGTGAAGAATAAAGATATTGGTGAGATGAGTTGGGTGTAAGGATTTGGTTAGGGTTAAAGGGTTTGAAGGTGGGGTCACGCTGGTGAGGCGGGGTGATCATTGATGGTGAGACAGTGGTTAATATGGCGATATTACGGTGACATTATGTATGATAGATCACACTTGACAGTAACGTCGTGGTGGAGCAGTGATGGTGCTGCGATAGGCTCTCTTGTAACTAGGATGGGTGGATGGCTTGTAGCTTATAGTTGTGGGGTACATTATAGAACACGCGGGATGTTTGCAAGAGTGATGCAGCGTATTGTTGTGTGCGCGGAATGCACCTGTCGATTTGACTATGCTAATTTAGACTGCGTCATTGTTAGCTTAGAACTGTTATATTTGCTAACATGACGCTGGTATTTCGATGAAAAATGTGCGGAATTCATATAACTCTATCATGTCTTGAACAGTAGCATGGCTTACAGCAGCTGCTAGCAGGCAGCAGCGACAATGTGATTTTTTGTTGTTGAGAAGTCACGTCAATTACACAAGTGTTATGCTAAATCTGCCTCAGGACCGGTAACATGACTCCCACTATCCCCCTCTCTCCCATCAGTGTGATATCTGCTGCGACGAGTATCCTCCTGCCGAGACGCAGGCAAGCACGGCCTGCCAGCACCGGTTCTGCGTGCACTGCTGGGAGTCGTACCTGAGTGTGCGGATCAGGGGCGGAGACGCCCACCATATTCTCTGTCCGGCACACGACTGCAACTTCCTGGTGCCGCTGGAGCTTATCGAGAAGCTGGTCAGCCGTGAGATGGCCAGCCGGTACCTGCAGTTCGACATCAAGGTGGGTAGTGGGAGGTGACTGGGTACTGATGGGACTCTAAACTCGGAGTTGTAGTGAAGACCGGCCGTAGGTGGCAGAGTAAAACTAAAGGAAATGGCGGCGCTGCCTCGCACACTCTGATGCAGGAGTTTAAGGGCTGTGTTATTTTTGCTCAATAATATTAACCCGCGCCCGGCTGGGGGTCCTGGATTTCCACGCCCTGCTGGGGGGGAGGGTGTTTGAACACCCCCCCCCTTGTAACTCGGCTCCTGGGCCACGTAGCAATACGCGGAAGGCGGCGTTCGAAAGAGCGTCAAAAATAATGACGAAATCACTTCGGTCAATTTTTTGGTCAGGTCAAAGGTCAGGTCACCAGAGGTCATTGAAGGCAAAATTTCGCCGATTTCCAGGTCTAATGTCGAAAATTTCCAAGAAGCCAACGCATAACTCGGGAACCAATACAGCTACAGCGCCGCGAAAAAGCGCATTCGATAGCCCTATTAACGCCCTTTCTAAGTAATTCTCTCAGATTTGACCTAACATCAACGGTTTTGCCTGCAGGGGGCAAAAACTGCAAAAATAGCCGATTTTTTCGGAAACAGTTTTTCTGCAATAACTTTTGACCCAAGCCTTGTACGAGCTTACTTTTACCGGCATCGTGTTCCTCTCGTCAAGACGCATCGAATGAACTATAATTTGACCTTGAAAGGTCAACTTGAAAATTTGACCTAAGGTCAAGGTCATGACGTGACCGGAAAGGGTCATGTTGCATATCAGTCGATCCGTATCGTCGAACTGAACACATCTAAGGCGTTTTCATCGCTCTAGCATGCCTCTATCAAAAGTTATTTGCGAAAAACCGTTAGATACCATTCGTGACCTAAGATGACCTCAGGGCATAAACAAGGGTCACGGACACCATTTTCATGTTCAGTGTGTCTAAGCAACTTGTAATTCGGTGTTTGGGAGTGTTTATAATGTCTTTCGTCCAAAAGAGGCGCATTTCAATTTTCTCCCATTGACTTATAATGGGGAGGTCGCAAAATTGACCTGACCTTAGGTCATCGATATCAAAATTCTGAGATATACATTTTGTACATGCTATTGCTCTTAGCAATCGCTGAAAGTTTCAAAGTGATCGGTCACTCGGTGTAGCTATGACAGACATTGAAACTTTTTATGAGGTGAGGTCACTTCAAGTGACCTGGTGACCTGACCTTGAATGACCTTGGTCTGAAATTTTCACAACATGTGTAGAATTGATGTATGATAAGGTGTACCAAAAACGGCGGCGCGGAGCGCCGCCGTTTTTGAGATATTCGCGAAAAACCACAAGGGGGGTGTTCAAGCACCCCCCCCCCCCCCAGCAGGGCACGGGTTAAGTTGTGGAAAATAAAATTGCATTGATAGTAACTTCGGCTTAAACTTCTTTTTACCCCGCAGAGCTACCGATAAACGAAAAGCTGCCTTCGACTAATAAATTTTGCAACATGCGGGCAAATATTTCTCGCATTTGCGCATTCCGGCTTTTTCCGTCATTGTAGTGTAGCGTCTCCTCACACTTCTGATGTTCCTGGCATCTCTCGTGCCCTGCACAATCTGTCATCTTTCTTTACATTTCTCTCTTAGCATTTCCTCTTGTGTGTCCGCTCGCGTTTCCCCTCACACCTTGTAGATCTTTCGGTCTTTTCTGACGTCTCTCCGCCTACGTCTCTCTCCTCGACAGGCGTTCGTGGAGACAAACCGCACGATCCAGTGGTGTCCGGCGGCCGGCTGTGGACGCGCCGTCTCCTTCCCTGAGGCAGAGAGGAGTCGCACCCGGCCGCGGCCTCAGCTAGGACCCGGCCGGCCGCCGCCACCCGTCAGCCACGCGGTCGACTGTGGTGTCGGGCACTTCTTCTGCTGGTGAGAGGCGCTCCGGGGACCGGGAGGGGAAAAAGGGAAGGGAAGTTTTTGATATTCATACGCTGATTGACGTGATTTTGCTGAATGTTTAGTGCGTTGGTATTTCTAGGTATGTCGCTCCTCTGACAACGTAAGCAGTCATTTCGTTCGTGTGCTTTGGCCGGAGTGACCGTCTTGCGTCACCTAATCATCTGTAAGCCACCTGTGCATACTATTCAGCTTTTACCGCAAGTATAAACCTTGACCTGACTAGTGACTACCCTCCTTAGCCCTGCTCCCTCCCCAGACTCACATCCCCGGCCTCTGTCCCTCTCAGGGAGTGTCTGGGCGAACCGCACCCTCCGGTCGACTGTGAACGCTGGGCCCAGTGGCAGCGTAAGGTGGCCGAGGTGCGCCCCGACCAGCTGCGCTCCACCTGGGTTGAAACAGAGGAGGCCGCCAACAGTCTGTGGCTGGTCACCAACTCCAAACCGTGCCCCAACTGCCGCAGCCCCATACAGAAGAACGAGGGGTGCAATCACATGCGCTGCTCCAAGGTGGGTGACTAAGGATACAGGTTGGGGTGCTGCGGAGAAGGGTTTGGTTTTATGGAGAGGCATTATGCTTGCGGATATGCACGATGATTGTGCGTCGCAAGTCGCAAGGAATCACGATCAGTTATCGCGTTGAAGCAGCTGCAATTTTAACGCAAATATTAAAGCAGTTAAAAGGTCGCCGCGACAACAGCTATCCCCTCGTGGCTAGTGAGTGCCGATGTTGGTCCTAATCTACCGTCTAATTACTGTCTCCGTTTACCATCATCCGCACAGTGCAAGCACGACTTTTGCTGGATGTGTCTGGAGGGCTGGAAGAAGCACAGCTCGGCGACGGGCGGCTACTTTCGCTGTAACAAGCTCGACTCCCAGACCAAGGTGGACGAGCGGCACGACGCCAAGATGGCGGAGGTGAGGCCCAGAGGACACCAGGTGTGTTCTGATTTACGGGCGCGGGAACAGTAATTCCGGGAACAGGATAGAATAGAATTTAACTCTTGGGGGTTTGCTTGTTAAAGTGATCTCGACTCTGAACTGAAATGTGAAGGAACTAAGGTAAATGTGTGATAGCCCTGATGATGAAATGAATAGATAGGTTTAATCCAGGCTTTATAAACTCATTTTTCCTCTGCAGGCATCTAAGTGCCACTGCTGAATGTAATGTGTCTGCATGCGTCCATCCTGAGTTCAGTCATGTTTTGCCGCTACATATCCCTATCAGATATATCTTCCCTTACCGCGTTTCACCGTTTCTACAGGCGCAGATGCGTAATAAGCAGATGCAGGAGCTGGCTCGGTTCGTGCAGCTGTACGAGAAGCACCGGCTGCACTGGGACCGCCGGCTGGCCGAGCGGCCGCTGCTCGGGTCGGCCGCCGAGAAAATGAAGACGCTGGCCAACTCGTCCACGGCCGCGCAGAAAGGTGAGAGCGATTATTGCTAATGCGGATTGGGGGTTAAGAGTCGATTTGAGTAGAGCCTGGGATGGGGATAATTTGTAAGTAACTGTAATTTAGTCTTTTGCTGTTGCCTTGTTTGGTTTTGTTCATGAGAAATGGAAATGGTCGTGGCTCTGATCATTCTGCTGCCAAGCGTGTCGTGTGGGCTTTCTTTCACGCCCGTTTTGTTTACATATGGCATATATCGCGATAGCTAAGCAGAGAATAACGGGTTCTGATGTAGCCTAAGTCCGCTCAACGGACCCAATGGTGGCAGAAACTTTAACCGACGCTGGCGCCCTCTCCTCCGACAGGTATCGAACTGGAGGGACTGCGGTTCGTCGACCAAAGTCTGCGGGAGCTGCAGAAGGCGCGCCTCCTCCTCTCTGGCTCGTACGTCTACGCCTACTTCATGGACGAGGTCAACAGCTACAGCAAGAACATATACGAGTTCATGCAGGTGAGGGGCGGAGTTGGACGTGTGGTGCAGTCAGTGTGGCGGCGCCGGCTGACTGTCTGGGTGGTATCGAGAACCAGGGGCTAAACCCAAGACTGTATGATGAGACGCTGCTCTTCTTCATATACCTACAGATATGATGCGGACGCAATGACCGATATATGGTAATTTGGTACAAAGATTATGTGTTCAAGTCTCTACTGCAGTTGCGCTCCCAGTCAGTTGTTGAGCCTCCGTTGTTGGAATCACTGGCCCGTTTCACGGAGTGTCCCGTCCGATTTCTGTGTTAGTACTCGGCTGCTGTAAGCGTCTTGACAGTGTCTGTACCGATGTCTATAAGGCCGTCTGTGCTGGTCCCATGCTGGCGCCGGTGTCAGTCTAAAGCCTGAAACAGACTCTTTCCGCAGTCAGGAAATCGCATGCGAGAGCCTATTCAAATACATGGAAGTATGCTCGCATCAATCGCACGCACCTCCCGCAAGCGATTGATGCGAGAAGAATTACAATGTATGTGAATAGGCTCTCGCATGCGATTTCCTGAACGCGGAAAGTGTCTGTTTCAGCCCTAACACTTACCCTTCCCACCCGATCGCCGTCCGTCTCCAGTCGGAGCTGGAGCAGGCCACCGAGTCTCTGGCCACCGTGGCCGCACTGCCCTACCTCAAAACGCCAATGTCTACCATCGTCACCGCCACGCAGCTAGTCAGGAGAAAGGTAAGTCATCTAAACGGGGATGTCTCACAGACCATGAGGCATCTGCTCGCATCTTTGTACCTAGCTATTTTACAGTTGCGCTTTGTACGAATTGATCAAATATTCATGGTGAATGGTGCAGTGGCTATTGCCTCATGCGTGCGTTATCATCAAGATTATCATGCTTAAAGCTACCTTACATTTGTTTTCGTGGACGAGTTATTTTTCCTCTGAGCACGCCTACCCTCTCACTTAAATATCTCCATCTTTTCTATGTACGGTTCATGTCTTGTCGTCTGACCCGTCCCTTTCAATCATCTGACCCGTCACCGTCGGCCGGCAGCGTGACGAGTTTATCCAGGCATGTGAGCGCGGTCTGCTGCCGCCCGAGACGCCGTCGGGGGTGCGCGGACACTGGAGTCGACACATGTCCGCCTCTTACGGCGCCGCCAGTCAGGTAAGGGCAGGGGAGGGTCGGCAGAGGTGCTAGGGCGCGGGGGCTTGTTTAGGGTCTGTGTAGCGTAGTTGGGCAAGTAAGGAACGTGAGGGACTGGTCAGGGTCCGTGCAGAGTGGTTGACTAAAGGCCGCCCCACACTGGACGTCGCATGCGGGTTGCGAGTTTTTGGATTTTCGGGTTTCTTCAAAATCAAAAGATACAATCTAGGCTGAGTGACCCACACTACCATCTAACAAGCGAGTCTGCGTGTTTTTAGCTTGCGAGCGACTTTGCATCACATTCCAAAAGTTGATTTTGAGTCAACTTTCGATTTTCCTCGCTGCGAGGTCTGCGAGTTCTGCGAGGTTTGCGGGTTTTTCGTTGGAGTCGAATTTTGGTTCGTTGCGCTGGTATTGCGACTATATGTAAGTTTCTGAAGGTGCACCGGCTTCACTGCATTCGTGAAGTTACCATAAGGGAACGGTCTAATCACTCATGAATTAGTATTATGCCCGCAAACTCAAAACCCGCAAACTCGCAACCCGCATGCGAGTTCCAGTGTGGGGCAGCCTCAAGTTAGGAACGGGAGGGCTCATTGCCGTTTTTACATTACTTCTTTATTGGTTTTCATTGTAATAGCAAGATATTTTAATCTCGCGCAATTCTATGTATCTTTTAAGTCACAGCCAAGCCGAAAGCTAGCTCAATCCACCCCACCGTCTCTGAAGTAAGTGCCATGTCGTTCGTCTTCCCCAAACCGTGTTGATCTCCACCCTCGCCCACCTCCCTGCAGCTACCCCCTCACGTGGTGGCCACTCTGTCGGAGCTGGACCCGGCGTCTGCCTACTCCCGGGACATGCAGACCAACCTGTCGGCCATGTACGACTGGCCAGATGTTGACTGGGAGGACGACGAGGTGAGATGCGTGGAGACCGATGGGTGATGAGGTGATGTTAATGATGAGGTGATGAGGTGATTGTCAAATGTACTTTGACAGGAATAGAGAGGATGCTGTAGTGTGATGAGATTTGACAAAGGTCGGGGAGGTGGTTAGGATGTGAGATTGGATGGCGTAAGAAGGCGACAAGGTGATATTTGACAGGTCCTGGTGAGGGAATGGCGAGGTGATATTCGATTTAGTCTAGGGAGCTAGTGATATGTGGTAAAATATGTGCTGGGACGGTGGACTGATATAAGATGTCCCAGTAACTTAATATCTGACCAGTCTGTCCGCGGTTCTTTAACCCGGCCTCCCCTCTCCCCAGGATGAGGAAGAGGACGCTCTCTCGGCGCTCGCGGCCCGGTTTCTCTCCCAGTGCCGCCGCCAGGGCTGCTGCCGGCCCCGCGCTCGGAACCCTCGCACGGGCGCCACGCACGATTATTGCTCACTGAAGTGTTCGCGGATGGATATGTTGGGCGATCTCATGGGTGAGTGTCAGGTTTTGCCCCGCGACGCCGCCGGAGGTCAAACGGGAGAGAGAAAACGGGAAAACGGGGCACGGAGGAAGAGCGGATAGCGTTTGGCTAAAGTACTTGGTTGTTCGTAGTCATTGGACAGGTGGTTGACATTTGTCCGCAAATTTGAATTACGGTTAAGTCGACTTAACCTTCCAGGCGGTGGGGGGGGGGGGCATTTTTTGCCCCCCTTTAGTTTTTTCGATATATCTCGAGAACCGCTGCGCCGATCGTCACCAAACTTTCAGTACCCTCCCGGGAGCAGCTAGCGCACATGGTGACCAAAACTTTTTCCAAAGGCTATGATAGGTTGGCCGCTAATGACGTCAGAGTGACGTCATTTTTGCCATTTTCGACCCAAAAAAAGGTTTCGCGGGAAGAGCTGTCAGGCCTACAGCTTTAGAGATACAGAAAAATGTTTCAGACATAAAAGGTGTGGAATTAGAAGGGCTACAAAACTGATATTTCGGTTTTTCGAATTTTTTGGATTTTGACCCCCAAAAATCAAAAAATGGATTTTTTGAATATAATTGCCAAAAATCCAAAAAGTTTTTTGAATTTGGAAAAAAAAAACGGAATATATGTGATAGCTCCTACCGCCTTCTATCTACATACCAAATTTGAGATCGATACCTCTTTTTTTTGGCCAAGTTATAGCGAAAAAAACTGTTCAAAATTGATGACGTCAAATTTTCAAACTCAATTGTTAGCAATTCTAGACCTCGTAGCGCAAAACAAAGACCACCATTAGACTCCCCGTGACGAGCTGCATCGAATCGATATCCATTTATGCAAAAATATCAACTTTGAAATTTGACCTTTTTTGACCTGACCTTTCTTTCTTCTTTTTCTTTTTTTTTTTATAAATTTAGTCCGAACCTTTTGATGGGAAGGATTCACAAGGACAGAGCCACCGCTAAGCGAAGCTTGTTGCGATGACCCTGCCCTCTACCCTCCGATTGCGCAATTCCGATTCTATGGCAGAATTTAGAGTCCAAAGTTTAACGTGCGCACAAAGCCGCGCACGGCCGGTCCCCTCGCTGACTTCGCCTGGCTACGGCCTGCCACCAACCGCAACCATACCTGTCAGGAGGCCCATAAATGTCGAGCGCCCGTCGCGCTTGGAACCCGGACTGTCATAACCGGGAACGCGTGCTCTCACCACGCGGAGTCCAACGCTCTAACCAACTGAGCTACGGGACCGGCTGAGCTACGGGACCTTGATCTGACCTCCACCAGAAAGTAACCTAAACCGTACCTGATGGTCTTATAACCAACACCATTGAGTTGGAAATGAAAAACTGGCCATAAAACATGCATCGCATAACCTTAGTAAAGTTGGGCTCATGTGGTGACCCTTGGTGACCTTTGGTGACCTGACCTGTGACCTGACCTGGTATGACCAGTGACCTCTAATAGCAACATATGTACTAGACAACTGACGCCTTATCGCTGATTTTCGACAAAATGCGTTTTACTCGGTGTTACAGCGCTTTCCCTAGAAGCCCCGTGAACGGTGGAACATTTTATCTTTGACCTGACCTGTGACGTCATCGGTGACCTCGAGGTCAATGAAATTTGGTTTCCTTCGACAAATTTGACAGGGCTATCGAACGCCGTTTGAATTTTCCGGATCCGTCCAGTAGTTTCGGAGATACGGGGGGGGGGCAAAAAAGTGCCCCCCCCCCACCGCGCGGAAGGTGGCTGGTAGGCCCACCGCCTGCCGGGTTAATGTACACAGACGAGGGCGGGATGATGCATGACCTATGATCTTCCCGTTGCCTTGCCTGTAATCTGGCCTGTGCTCCGGCCTAAGATCTAACCTTTGTCCTGACCTCTGTTTACAGACCAAGGCGGTATGATGCCGGGCGGCTACAACATGGAGCTGCGGATAGCGCTGGAGATGTCTCAGCTCCAGCAGCTGGAGGAGCTGAACCGGCAGAGGAAGCGCAGCGTCTCGGAGAGGTGAGGATACCACGCGTTGGACCGTGGATGCCACTGTATCACTCTGAGGCCGGGCTCCGCTGTGTCCATGGATCTTCAGTGACTCTGACTCCGACTTCGACTGAGCCCGACTGACGCCGCAGTTTTGACAGATCTGCGGAGTCGATGAATTGCTGGTGACTCCGACGCCGCCTCCAACTGCAACTTCTAAAAATCGGGTCCGACCCTGGCAGGACTGTCGACTCTGACAAACTCCGACTCCGACTCATCAGCCCTGTTCTGTACCGTGCTCAGCCCGCCATGTTTCGACTTTTCAGACTCTGACTGTGGCCTTTCTCTCGTGCAGCGGTGGCGCCACCTGGTGTGCCAGCTCGAGGGACGGCGCCGGCGCGTCGGCCGACCAGGCCACCACCTCCACATCGGCACCCACCTCCTCCGGTTAGTGGCGCGAAGTTTTTGGGATCGGAGGCCATCTACTAATCGGTAGTCACTGATGTGTACTGTATTTGTAGCCCATAATCAGTGGAATTTGATCATTCGAAGCACTGGGTCTGACTCCTCCGGTAGCTGGAATCTAGCCTCTCAGATCACTAAGGTAAAAGGTTTAACCCTTTTGTCACTGTTGTCTGACCAGCTTCCTGGAGTGCGGCCAGTGACCACCCTCTCCCTGTTGTAATCACTCCAGTAATGGCGGTCCATCACTGCAGTTCTGGACACGTTTGATTGTCCTCCATCAACAGCCCACTCACTAACCTACCGCCCCTCCCCCGTCCCCAGGCTACCCGCCGGCGGAGGCTGCCGTCTGCTGCCCGCCCCAGTACTCCGACCATCCCCGGGAGCGGGGCAGGCGCCGCTCTCTGCGTCCCGTACGCAGCGAGCCGGGAGCGCTGGGGGCGGACGGCACCGGGCGCGCGCCGCGGCGCTCCCAGTCGCTGGGCCAGCTGCGCTGTCAGGAGCCGGCCGACGCGGTGCTGTCGGATAACTCGGGTACGTGATGGCGTCTGGGAGAGAATGGGAAGCAGACGGTGGTACAGTCAGTCAGGGGCATGAGAGTCATGGGGTAGAATTAAGTCAGTGGAAACTATTAACTTTGCTGGCGTTGGAGAGGGTAACGGTCAGTGGTGACATGGGTCCACGTCGCTAATGCTTTGACATCGAGGTTGGGAAGATGGGGTGCGGGAAGAGGCAAGGGGCAAGGCTCTGGGAAGGGACAGATAAGGGACAGCCTGTGACGTTATGTTGGGCAGCGTCGAACAGTAACCCAGCATATGTCACTGGAGTGAATGTGAGTTCGGTGTGAAGGTCAGGAAAGGAAATGGAGGGTGGGGATCGTGGTGGGTTTATGGGTGGCTCATCATGGCTGTTTAGCTCGGCTAGCGTTGATCCCTTTATGTTCGTTGCATGACAAAGTTCATTGGTTGGACATTTTGTAGTGTTATTGCAACAGAATGCACCAGCACATACCTGCACGGTTGTAATTTATGTATCCCTTCTTTTTCTTATTCACGATTTTTGTTCCTCCACAGTGTTTTGCTCCGTTTACGTTTTTGGTTTGTCGTTTCCCCTTTCAGCGGATTTTCGTCGCCTGGCGGTGGCTGAGTGCTAAGTGCTCCGTTGAGACATTCAGTTGCTGATTTTCTGATGACAGCTTACACAGCCAAAGTGAGACGGAATGCATGATGGAATGTTGATAGGTGACACAGGGCCAATTTGTCTTAAACATTGTGCGTTTTATTGAGGTGTGCCATATTCTGTAATATCTTTAGTCGGAATTTTAATGGTTGGTATTTATGTTTATTTAGTTACTTACTGGGTGTTTACTTCGGGTTGTCTAAATATTTCACCGGCCTCTAAATAATAGGGCAGCTGGATATATCCATCCGAATTCTGCTAATAAGCATGTTTCCTTTGCATTTTGTGCACAGTTTTGGTTGGCTACATATCTGCGCACTTTCGCTTGGCCGGTTTCTTTATTTGTAGAAATCACCTCACCTTTGATTCATGAACTGCTCCAATTTCAACACCCTTCCCGCCACCCCTGTCGCCCGGCCGTCAAACCCCCACTCCCCACCCCTACAGGTGAGAGCGGCGGCGGCGACCCGGCCGACCGGGAGGTGTCTGCCATCCTGTCCGGCCGCCCGGTACCCCCTCCGCTGCCGTCCGCCACGCGGGACACGGCCAGCCGTCTGTCAGGTCACCTGGCCGACGACGAGTCGGTCAGCTCGGCGTCAGACGGCCGCGGACGGATGCACATCGTCATCCAGCGGCCGGCGCTCGAGACAGAGAGCTCGGCAGAGTGTGAGAGCGAGACGGGCATCCCTCGCTCGCCGACACTCTACATCAGCGGTGTGTCCATCAGTAGGAGCCCGGAGGCAGCGGCGGCCGCGGCCGGGCCGGCGCGCGACTGCCGGAGCCCGAGCGGCGCGCTGGCGGCGCCGACTGTGACGCGCGGCCGCTCGCTGAGCCTGGTGCCGGAGCCGGCGGGCGGCGAGGAGACGTCGCCGCCGACACCGCCTCCTGCGCCGATCGTGTCGCCGCTGCCCGTCGGCGGCGGCGCACTGTCGCCGTCGGCAGCCGGCCGACCGTCGCGCTGCTCCACACTGAGTCTGCACCTGGTGAGGGTCGTCTCCCCGCCGCCTCCGCAGGCTGAGCTCCGCGCCAGCAAGTCGGCCTCTGACGCCGAGAAGCGGCGAGACGTGTTCCGGTTCCCCGTGTCGCCCTCTGAGGGTCAGCTCTCGTGCGTGCTGCACGTACAGGAGAGCACTCTAAGCTCCGACGACTTCCACGAGGCGCTCTTCCTCGAGAAGTCGCCCAAGGGCCGACGCAAGCGCTCAAAGCGCGATCGGGTGCGCGACCGACGGCCGGGGGTGTGAGCTTGACGTGAGCGCCGGTGTGAGCACAGGTTAGTGCCGGGGATCTAAGGACGCGAGCGGGACGTGGAATCGCTCAGCCAGTCTCGGGCCGCCTCCGTACAATCCCGGGCTGAATGAGTGTTCTGGTGAGATCTCTGGCGGCCGATCCGCATGCTCCGTGTTCTGCCCTGCAAGCACCGTTTCTTTGAAGTCGCCTTGTGATATTTACTACAGCTTCCAGAGGCATTGAGGGTTGTTCGTTCACTCTCTTTCGGTTGTGTGATATCTGTAAGTCAACGCTTGTTTTGCTGATAATCATAGTACCGTGCATGCGATGTTTTATAGTTTAAACGGTTGTTTATTATTAAGACATTTTTTAAGGTTATTTACTCTTTGTAAACTGCCACTTTCAACGGCACACGCAGCCAGTTTCTGATCAGTCACTCGGTGACTGAAATGGCATCTCGAAAGCGCTTATTGATATCCTTGTTTGCTTGCCGTGCTAGATTTATAATGTGATATTTAATCATTCTTGTGCTAAGGATTATGTATTGAACAGTTGCGCATTTGGCGTTAAACGCCGAGTGGGCGTTAAATCTACGGCGTTGCGCGCCGCGACTGAGGGGTGTCATGTGTGGGAAAGCTGCCACTATGTGAAGAACCAGGGTATGTCTGCCAGGCGTGTTATCAGTTAACTCTAGACGACTGCCCAACCAACCACTGCGCGCAATGTGACGTCTGTTCGGGTATCCAGGGCGGCCGTCGTGGACGGCTGCCCGGCGCACTGCCGCTACCCCGCTAGTCGTGCCCTGCTCAGAGCGCCGCCCGCCCCTGTCTGGTCGCTGTCCGGCCGCTGCTCGCTGCGGCCGCGTCTGTCCACAGCTATCGATGGACGCTCTATTTTTCTACCGACCCGCGTGTGACCGCCTGCCGCTGTTGTCTGTCTGTGTGCCTGTATGTGTCTGTGTCCGGGAGGGGCCTCAGCCGTCTGCGTCCCCCTGTCGCTGCCCTGGGTGTCCGTGGAGACGCCCAGTTCGAGGCTTCACCCCGCTGTGTCCGCCCCAGTGGCGGAGTTTTGTACATTTGTACCGGGAGCTGCGGCCGGCGCGGAGCCGACTGCTCAGCAGGGCGGGCTGCCGCAGCTTTATACAGTTTCGGACGGGTGGTTTGCCACCCCTCTCCATGTTCACGAGGACGTGTAGTAGCGGCGTTGTGGCTTATCCTGGTTCATAGGTAGCTGCAGTGATGGGACACGCACACGGTGCATGAAAGTCACCTAAGGGTCAGCGGAATTTGTGAGACGGGATTATTTGCTTCTTTCTGTTTTCGTGACAGTATCTCATAACTGCGGTGTGGTCTGTGCTGGGTTCGCCGAAACATTGAAAGTGCTTTCGTTTTCACTCCCGTTTATATCCCAAGCAGGCAGCTACTGGATGTATCACATCGACAATTACTAACTCAGTACCGAGAACCTCGTCCACCATGTTAGTCAAAGTCAAACCATGAGTCTTTGCGGTCCTCGATGGCCTTTTTGTAATGTCGCATTTAACTCAACAATCACATTTTTCAACGTAACAATCAGCCCGATCCGATCGAAGGGTAGTCGCCATTTGTTAGCACGGGTCACGATCTGTGAGTCCACTGCCTCGCGGTCAGTTCCGCACCGTTCTGTGATCGGCCCAGTCAGTTCACCTAGCTCGCGACCACCGCTGGACTAAGCCCAGCCTGGCCGGCGACGCGGTCCCAGTAGCGTAGCATCGTTCGTAGCCGTGATGCTAGCTAGAACGTGCAGTGTCCGTGTTTTACCACATTTTTCGTAGCTTTTTTTTACTTTTTGATGATTAATGGTAACATATTTTCTTACCTGTCTTTTTATGGGATTTAAGTTGCGTTTTGAATGCTACAACACAATAATCTTCATTCCTTAAAGGAAATAGTTCACTTTTTAACATGGGTTTTGAACTGGAATAGCAGTTCCGTAGCTTGGGCTGAGACGAGCATAAATCAGGAGCTTTTACAGCCCAACGATCACCCTAGGCAAAGATATTCTATTTCTCGTCCCGAAAAAGGTGTCTTGCGTTGAGGATGTGTGCCTTGCATATATTTCCATCCAGTATGAAAAGAGCATGGGTCCCGAAAATTCTTCAGAAAGTAGAGAAATTATCTACGAGAACTCTAGAGAAATTCTCGTACTGATCAATTAGGACATTCAGGGGAACATTATCAGATCGAGCAGATCGCCCAAATGCCGGTGGCTGCGATAATTTCTCTGTTTCTGAAGAATTTTCGGGACCCATGCTCTTTTCATACTGGATCGCGTGTGCCTTGCAGAAACTGAAAAGTTCTTCCTATATCAAAATATAGAAAATAATCTTTTGTTATAAAAAAGGTTTTATTTTCTTTGCTGATTATTTTGAACATAAAAAATCATAAATCCGTTGCAAAAAAAATAATTTCGTGAAAGTGAACTATTTCCTTTAACATATTAATTGCTTTAGTTTTGTTTTCCCTTGAAAAGGTTTCGACCTTTCATTTGCTGCATGGAAACTATTGAAACAAAATAATCAATTGAAACGCCAGTGCCTGATTCTATTTTGTCGCATATCTGTGAATATAATCAGAGGGCGCGCTCGGTTGTTCTAGCTGCCCAATGCCCAGCCGACCGGTATCATCTCAGAGGAGAGTCCTGGCTCCCTGAGTCACGCTCCTGACTCCTGAGTCGCACCGACCCCACCACCCCGGACCGGTCGTCGCCGCCCACACATTCCTAGTCATCCCTGGCGCTACGAGCCCGGTCTGTGAAACGCGCTGTAACCATGGAGGGTCACCTCAGTGGCGTGTTCCTGCTAACGAGCCCGGGACAGGGCGGAAACACCGCCATGTCAGTGTCAACACCGCCGAGTGTCAGTGTTGACACTGCCCGCGTGTCACGGTGTCAGACTTTGTCAGTTCGCCTGGTGACCTGGCCCGCCTTTGCCGTGTCAATGTCGTTTGCTGGTCCGGTAACCGATTTGTGCATGTGCGTGTGTTAACCCTATTAGTGGCAGGGGGGGGGTTGTTTTTATCCACCCCTCAGGTTTTTCGGGAATATCTCCGAAACCGCTGAAGCTACGGTGCTGAAATTTTCTGACTTTTCCTAAAACTAAATTGGGCACATTCCCTGAAAATTTCAAGTTCATAACTTTACCAGGGGCGGCTCCAGAGCACTGGGAATTGGGGGGTCCTATTCGTGAAGCGAGTCATTTGGGCGAAGATCACGATGCTGCACCAGTTTTACGAACAGTGAATGAAAGGTATCATGTGATAACATATACAGTTATTGTGCATCCTCTTTTGACACGTTTTTGCTATAATAGGCGGATCCAGGCGTCCAAAAAGGGGGGTTATGTTTTACCTCCCAACATAGGTGCCCTGACACCGCCTATGCATAACCAATACAATTGTAGTCGTTCTCTCATAAGAAAATTGTAACATAACAAGACCATTACCACGATTTTTAGAAACAGTACCAACAAAAACCTTATTTACTATACTTTTTGTGTACCCCCAATCTCAATGATCTGTATCCGCCTATGATTTTTGAAAATGCATATTTTTGGGATCCATGTGAATTCCTGGTTCATTCTCTATCGATCGGCAAAAGTTGCGTTAAGATTGGTTCAGAAACCTGGCCGTGATAAACAGTCTAAAATGTATCTGCAATTTGCCCGTTTTTACCCCCCTCTACCCCCCCTATTGACATTTTTTAATTTTTATTTTTTAGAAATGTAGATCACGCTGAGCGAAATCGAACGCCGTTTGAATTTTGAAAATCGGCCCGTTAGATCTCGAGATATCAAGGGGGGGTCGTAAACAGCCCCCCCCCCCTGCCACTAATAGGGGGTAGCCAGGAGCCTGCCACTAATAGGGTTAAATGAAGGTTTCCTGAATATAGCCTGTGCCACATATCACAATGTTTGACAGTAAGGGCAGGGTGATCAGTGTTAGTGGACAGTCATGATTCATGACCGAACCAGAGCAGCGGAAAAGAAACAGTATTTAAAGTGAATAGGCCACGATATGATAAAAAAGTGTACTCTCCAACTACTTACTCCACTGAGGGACCAAGTCCCGCAACTCGAAAATATCACAGCAAACACCATAAATTATTTGACTGCGATATTATATTACACAATATACCGGTAGCAGCACGGCAACGGTACAGTTTTGTACACTGGATGTGGTCTTATTCTGTACACTCATACACATATGACGGGTGAAATGGCGGCGCCTGACGCGATGAAACTGATGGGCACATGTACACTGAAAGACTAGACTCGGCGGGGGAGCTGAGAGGCCCGTCTGATACGGGATAACGCCGAGACTATCGCGCAAAAATTAGAGAGAAAAAGAAACTAACGAAGACAAAATAACAGTGCTGACTACGCCTGCGATACGCAGCACAGAAGCAATGAGGCAGGCTGACTGCCTGGATAGGGTAATAATACTCAACTATATACGCAAACTGACAGTGAAGGGCAATATACTAGCTCGGGCACTGGACAAACACCAGCACGCATCGACACTGACTGGAAATAGCCGCGACCTATGATACGTCACTGGCAGCTAAATTTAGCGACGAAGTTCAGGGGAAAGGGGTCCCCGGCAATGATCATAGCCTCATTAATTTACATGACTAATAACAACACATTCATGCACATATTCCCAATACGATGGGAAAATTACTATAGCTGTCCTTTGTTTTGTCTTTCAGTCACTGCGTTTATTCACGCTTGAGTCCGACTGAGGCGGCCCTGGTTTCCAGACTCTCCGCTCTAGTTCAGGAAACCGCGACAGTGCAGAGTTCCACACAAACAGGGGATTTTATCCTCCTCGTAGGGGAACTTGTAATCGTAGGTGATCTCCTCATTTACCCCGATCGGCTGCTTTGAGTAGATCACGATCTTCTTCTGTCCCTCCAGTGATACGATCTTGGCGTAGCAGTTGGGCTGCGTGAGCGGGGAGGGTGGTTAAAACGTAGTCCGAGTGAGCCTAAACGAGGTAAGATAAGAGGGCAACTGTGTGTTTACGTTAGCAAAGATGATCTGGTCCTCGTTGCCAGATGCTGCCGGGAAAAACGACCTTTTCATTTACGCTGCAGTTTCGTTGCACATTCGCACCATACTCGGACGAATTCCGCGACCAATCTTTGATCTTCATTCAAGATTGAGTCCCCGTTTCTACCTCTGACACTCTTCCCAAATCGAAAGCATTCCTCCCCTTTCCTCTTTCCACAACATTTCACGTCCACCGCAATTACCCCCTCCCACACCCCACTTCCCCAATCCCACCCCTCCCACAAGTTCCCCCTCCCATCTACTGACCGTGCAGCTGTGGTTGATGAAGCGCGCCAGGTTGCCGCACTTGGTGGCGTCGATGATGTTGTCGCGGTCGATCCTGAACAGGTACGAGCTGCCGATGCCCTGCCGCTCGTACACCAGCTCGCGCTGGTCGGCCACCGACTGCCGCACGTGCTGACCCACGTACTCGATCACCATCTCGTCAGCAGCGATCGGCTCCAGAGCGAACAGACCCCAGTCGTGAATGGCCGACTTGCCGAACTTGAGCTGCTTCTTGCGGAACTGTGTGACGGGGAAAGGTTGTGGTCAGTGTTAGTGGGTGATGAGGTCTGCAGATGCCAACAACTTCACGCCGTGATTGATATTGAAACCAAATGAATGTTTGTTGATGACTTTTTGCTCGGCTACGCTTGCTTCAGCGATTACTATCGAACAATACAAAAAAAAACTCCCAAATTCTTAACTCCTTAAACGAAACAATTTATTGAGTGAAACAATTTATTGAGTGAGCAAGGTTGTTCATCAAATTGATCCCTATCCGCACTACACTTTTACTGCTTTTTCGGCCGAGTAGCGCCTTTCTGAGATGTCAGAAAAACAGCCACCATTACTACGTTCATAACCTGCGCCCGAGAAGTGTATCAAGAGAGGCCCGTTTCCATTCCCAACCCAGCCTCCCACCTCGCCCTGTGTCCCACCCACCTTGAGCTGGTTGAATTTGAGCAGCTCGCTCTCGGTGGCCGCTCCGAGCACGGTGAGGATGCGCCGCTGGTTGCTGCGCGCTTCCCTCGAGATGGACGCCGCCGTGGCTGCCTTAGCCTTCTGGTCGGGCGCCGTGGTCACCTGCTGTGGCTGGAGGGACGACTGGGCCACGGTCGACTCTGCCAGCTGACGGCCAAAGTGGTACTGCAGAGAGGGACGGGCGTGGTCAGTAAAGGAAGAAAACATACATGCTTATTACATAGGTACATATTTACACATGCTCCTCGCTATAACAGCTTATCTATGCAACACAGAATCACGGCCTATGAATACTCCAGTGCAAATGTCGAGTCTCTGGGACCGTCAAGTGGAGCTTAGACCACTGATGGTAGCTCAAACAATCCTGTCATTTAGCAGCAAGATTCATATGCAAATATTGAGTGATCAGTGGAGTCTTATAGCGCCTGTGCCCTGTCGTGAAAATCATTATCGCTACAACACACAAGTGCCATCATAGTCATAAAGCACCCATCCCCTCGCCCCCCCCCCCCCCCATTTCCACATCCACAGCAGCTCGACGCTCACCTTATGTTTGGCCTTCTCTTTAGCCGACACTCGGTAGTACCCCTCAGTTCTCGCCGAGCCGGTGCTGTGTGCCGGCGGCTCGGCCAGCTTCCTCCTCTTCTCTGGCCTGTCGGTGGCAGCGTGATCCACCCAGTGGGTATCGTTCAGCCAGTAGCTGCTCTGTTCGTCTGACAGCAGATTCTCGTAGCTGCAGTGGAGGTACTCTATATCCTCCACCGTCAGACCGCGTGTCAGGAACTCGTACAGTAAGGCCATCTCCGACATTATGTCGCGTTTCTTGAACGTCGACTCCGGGACCACAGTGCGGCGGGTGTATTTGCGTTTTCTCCGGCCCTGCACGGGCTCCGGAGTCGGTTCAGGTTCTGGCTTCGGCTCCGGTTTGGGTGCCGCCGGCGGTGCGACAGGTGACAGGGGTCGTGTGTAGCCGTGGTCGGCCAGCAGAGCTGCCTGGATCTCCTCCCGGCTCGGAGCGGGCGGCGAGGGCGGTCGGAAGTAGGAGTGCTCCTCCCATGGCGAGTTGGAACTGGAGCCTCCCAGGGCAGCGGCGGGAGCGGGAGCTGAGGGTGGCGAGACATCTGCCGCAGACTCGGCGGTCGCCGCCCTGCAAAACAAAGCACGGAAACACTTATTTATGACGCTTGGGGTATGCTTAATGCTGATGAAGGTAAACAAGAAATATTGGAAGCATAATAAAAATAAAAATAAACGCGAAAAATAAAAACGAACCTGGGATTGGAAAATAAATATGTGAAGAACGGCACAACACATTTGAATATTATCTAAAATAGGTAGCATGTCGCATCATTTCTAGCGTGCCCAGATTGCCGCATTGCCTTGTACGCATTAAAATTCCCTATAATGTAACAATGAAGTACCTACCCAAAGGAAACCTTCCCGAATATAAACCCTGCTAATGTCACATCACTACTTAGAGAACCTTCCACCCATTTGTCTCCCACCACTCACGGTTTCGCGTCTGCCGGTTCATCCACCTCCATCTCCATCTCCCCCTCCGTTTCCGTCTTCTCCACCGGTTTCTCTGCCAGTACGGCCTCGATGGCAGAGTCAATCCGAGACGCCTTCGTCTCTACCTCTGAAGGTTTAACGGGGCTCGCCGCCGCCAGCTCCGGGGAGGCAGGCTTCTCTTCTGCCTCCTCCAGCTGCTCTTTTGCCTGGTCGGTCGGCTCCACACTCGACTTAGCCTCGTCGGCTGACGCGGTCTGAGAGTCCGCGTCCTCGTCTGGCTTCACCTTCATCGCCACTGCCGGCTCGTCCTCTGCAATATCCACGACTAGACTCTCGTCCTTCACACTGTGCTTCTCTGCGTCCGAGTCTGATTTCGCGTCCTCGGGCTCACTCTCACTCTCGTCACTAGAATCACTGCTGCTACTGAGGCTGCTGCTGCTGCTGCTACTCTCAGCACTACTCGAGGCGGTGCTGCGAGCCGTCCTTCGTCGAGGGGGAGGTTTTTCCTCCTCCTCTTCATCACTGGAAGTGTCGTATATCCTGGGCCGGGACCGGGTCGCCGGGGCCGGGGCAGGAGCCGGCTCCGGCTCCGGGCCCGAGTCGGAGTCGGAGTCGGCAGCCATGTGAGAGTCAGAGTCGGGAGCCGGCGGCGGCGACGGAGGCACGATCTTCCGCTGTGGACAGACACGAGCGTTGAGGTATTGCGGCTATCTAGCTGTCCGCTGCAAACTCAAGCATGCACTTGGCAAAATAAAACGTCCTTGACAACAAGGCAAAAATTCGAACATTTCATCGCTTTGGTGATTGAAAAACAAAAACCTTATGAGGTCTAAGAAGTCTATACATACTGAAGTTTAAAGGTGTTTGCAACCAATGCTCATCAATTCCTAGAGGAATTTGGTTCGCAGTAAATTCCACTTCACTAAAAGTGAAGTAAGTGAAGAACTTCAACGATTGTTTCACCCACCCCTAAAAGGCGCAGATCTCAGTTCTCGTCATTAACTCACCCGGAAGGAGGGCATCTTGGGCAGCGACATGCGGAAGCCGAGCCCGAAGCCGGCGCCGGTCAGCGAGCCTCTACTGTTCTCCAGCAGGGAGGTGAGGTCGGACCGCTCCAGGGAAGGTACGGAAGGCGGCGGAGGTACGCCCGTCCGGCTGCCCGCCTCGCGCGCCTGAGAAACACATGCGGAGAGGTGTTGTGACGGTCGGAGGCGTTGGCAACGGGCGAGATGAGAGGCTTGACTACTGCGAGACGGAGACCAAATAGACACATACAATCAACATGGTGGAACATTCTGACATAGGATCGGACTACGGCCGATTGGAGCGATAGAAGAACTTACCGAGAATTAATTATGCCCATTCTGACAACATACCGAATAGGAGATGCATTACGCTGATATAAATCGTGGAAAGCCGATGCAAAAAAAAAGTTATGTTCGAGTTCATAAATGGCCTTGAGGTGGTATTTCGTTAAAAGGATAAATTGCGAGACAAGCCCAGACATAGCATTCTCAATCACTATTGTCAGAATCCCAGGATCGGTTTATCAATTCTCCGATCGTCCGCCGAGCGCCGCACCTTGTGCTGCTCCTGCTGTCGGTCCCACCACTGCTCCAGCTGCTTGTACGCCGTGTTCTCGATCATCTTCTTGTTGAAGTCCCGCTTCAGGATCTGCTTTAATTCCAAAACCACCTCGTCCAGGGTTCGCCTGAAGGGAAAAGGAGTCGATACATCATACGGCCCATGATTTGTTACTGTTGTTAAGTCCTGGTAAAATGCAAGATTTTTGAGATAGTGGGAACTTCAGTGTTCTGTTCCGTGCATCAGTTGAATTCGTTATATGTTTGGTACGACAGTTTCTGACAAGACTCCCTTTCTGGCAAAACGACTATTTTTTCCAGCAAACATACTATTAGAATTATCAAGCGCACAAGTGACCAACGGAGGCGACGGATACCTAAGTACGTCCCTTCCCCGCGCCCCCTCTCCTCCACTCACTGTGCCAGCGTCTCCGGCGTCAGGACCTCGGCCTCGGTCGGCTGCGGTTCCTCTTCCATCAGATACTCGGGCGGCGGCGGCGGAGGGAACGCCGTGAATCCCGGCCCGGGCGGCGGACAGAAGTAGGGCCACGGCTGTCCCCAACCCGTCTGGAGCGCCACGCCGCCCGGCGGCGGCGGAGGGAAGCCAGGCGGGGGCGGCGGAAACCCGGGCGGGGGAACGGGAGGGAACCCGGGCGGAGGACAGCCCAGTCTCCCGTCCTCCATCGGGGGAGGAGGCGGGGGAGGCGGAGGAGGATCGGAGGGCTCCGAGAGACGCCGGGACGAGCGGCGCCGCCGCCGCCGACCTCCCACCGAGAGCCCTCCCAGTCGCCGGTGCAGCTCGCCGATGGTTTTCACGCCCTCCAGAGAGCCGCGGCGAGCGCTGTCCGCCGCCCATCCGCCGCGCTCCCACGCCGCGTCCTCACAGCTCCTCAGGTACAGCTCGCGCGACAGGAACGGACTGGGTGTCTCGCTGAGCGGCTCCGGCGGCGGGCCACCGTTCTCCCCCTCACTCTCCGAACCGTCCGCCGAGCCACCCGACTCGCCCTCACTATCCAACATCTCCGCGAAACAAGGCATCAGACCGTTCCTCGTCTTCCTCTTCAGTAGCTGGGCGATCCGCGAGTCCAGGTCGGGCCTAGTCTCTTCGTCACCGGCCGGCGGAGGAGGCGGGGATGGCGCCGGGAGTGAGTGCCATCCGTTGCGGAGCGGACTCGGCGGTCGCTCCAGCTCGGCAAGCAGACCCGGCTCGGGCGCCGGCGGCGGCTCCGGCGGCTCCGGCGGCTCGGGCGGCTCGGTGACGGAGGAGCGGCGCGATGAAGACGGCGACGGACGGCGGTACGGACGGTCCAGCCGTACCGGGAGGTCGTCAGAGAGGTCATCGGCCATCTGACGGACCACAGAGCCTGGGGAGGAGGGCAGGGCGGGGTCAGAGGCCACAGCGGCCACAGTGAGGCCGTAAATGTCTACAAACACAGACTAGTTAGATCCTAGTTGTCCCACTAGCCTTGGGTTAATCATATCTCAGAGGTTGATGACCGACGACCATGCGAACAAAAACAGTAACATCGCACATTGGTGAACTATCATCACCATTAAGCTAGCAACTTCTCCTGGTCATGGCCTCGTATTAGCCCTTCCCCCCCCCCTTCCCGTCTATCTCAACACTTACCGAAGGCATCCAGGAACACGTTGAGCACCTTGCCCATGACGGAGGTGCTGTTGAGTTTGTCGACACACGCTCTGGCGGCCTCCACGTGCTGGAACACGGCTCTGCCCAGGCCCAGATGTTTGCTGGTCCGCCGGTGGTAGAAGATGGTCAGCTCGTCCAGATCGCCGTATTTCTGCACCTGCGGACGGTGGTGGCACGGTCAGTGGGATAATAAGTTGGGACAGGATATTGGTGGAATAGAATGGTGAGTTGGAATGGTAGGATCGACCTGTGAAGGTCAGCTGATTAGAAGGTGAGTTATCATGGAGCAGGCTGTAATCGATTTGACATCGTACGTCGATGAAACAGCCAATAGCTAGGTGCCCATAAAGATTTAAGGTTACTGCAGCTCATGTCAAGAAGCACACATGACACAGCACAGCCAGTAAGCCGAACCTTGCCGATTGGGCCTGGCAGGTAGAGGCTGGAACTCACCAGGTCCGTGAGGAACGTCTGGTCGATGTTGTCGTTGATATTTGTGATGGAGACCTCCAGCGGGGGTGGCGTCCCCACATAGTTACTGTCAATCTGAAAACAACAAGCCCCATGAGGATAAACAACAGTATAGTGTGTACTGATTCGTAATGTCAAACTAACTTGGTAGCACAAAAGCCTTAGAGCATGGGAATGTTCCCCGAAATATTATCAGAAATGTCGTATTAACATATTCACAAGCTATGAACACTTTATTGATTAAATGCGACACAAGTCTACGGTAAAGAAGGCAAAAAGAAACAAAATTCTCGATCGCCAGACTATGATGTTCGTAAGTAGGCACTGCCTTCAAAATTAGTGTCAAAAGATTCGGGTGGTAATAGGGAGAAATCAAAAGTTCGTGAACTTCTAATCGTTAAGGTCCGTGTCGTCTCACAACAGCTACGGCTACCAATTAAACGAATTTATACCGAATAAGTATCGCATGGACTGTCAACGGGCAGGGCTCGTAATAAAACATACGGACGGAAACGAAATCCCTTGTGATACCTATCATAGAGAAGCGTTAGCCATTACGAACGTCTTCCGATGCGAGCCTTGTTCACGGGCCTTTCCCCGTCAAACCTTACCCTACAACACTCGGCCTGGACACAAACCTCTAAAAGGCCGCCAGTGTCCGTCTACTACAACTATACAACCTCCCCAGCAGGTTTCAGCCAGTAATGCCTACCTTGAACTTGGGCACCGTCATATGGAGGACCTCCATGCGAGCCCAGAGCCGTGTGATGGACGACCGTGGGTCGCGCACCTGTACAGCCGGATACAGGGCGTCGTTCGGCACACGTCCGTCGTACCTGGGAGGGCAAGCCGGTCAGGCTGGCTCTGTGAGGTGTGGAAGTATGTATGGGGGGCAGCACGTAGAATGCCTAAAGACAATAAATAAAGGCACATTTGTTTTGCTGAACAGACATTGTCAAAATGTAACCACTAAGCAGCTTGTTAGCAATGTTTGTCACTTTTTCATGTGGAATAAAAGTGACACAGTGATTGGTGATGTTGAGCTTAGGCCAAACTGCTTAATATATTAAATCATTTAAGACATATAGGAGGCTCAGACTTTCCAGCATGGACTGACCTGTATACTTTGGCTGCACCTTGTATAATGCATGGATCAGACAGTAGCTTGTAAGATTTATACTTTGGAGGGGGTGGGTGCTTGTCCTTTGGAGGGTGGTGATTATGGTGAAATTGATTGTGAGAATGATTCTGATGGTTCTTGTGATGATGATGATGATTATGGTGATGTGAAGAGCCATGAGGCAGGCGCTCCATTATTTCATTCATGCTTGATGCCCTGCAATCCTCAGGTCCTGAAATAGGTACAGCAAATGGTTAGAAGTCAGTTTAGAAGTCGTTGTTACCTAAACCCTGCTCATTCCATCTGCAACAACAGGGTAAAATAGGGGACATTCATAGTCATACAGAAGATACACTTAGCAGATACTTCACTTCAGAAGCTAAGAATAAAAAGGATAAAGCTGCACCAGCCCCATCATTCAAGGCACAATTACAGGATCATCACTTCTTTAACATTAATTCACATTTCTACCCTCTACTATGGTCCAAACTCCATAGCCTTTCTGATATCCCTTTCACAGTTCACTCAATGTGAGCTGAGCAAGACCCATACCGGCCATACACCTAGGGTCTGTTCCCGTCGCTCCTCCCAAAAAATCTCGGATGAGGTTGGATGAGCTTGGAGGAGAGCCGTTTCAGAGGAGCCACGGGAACATTTTAGCAAGGAAATCAGCTGTTTGCGGGCTGTAACGGTCGGCGATTTATGGCGCGCAAACATAGATCAAGAGATAATAATCGCTTTCTAATAAAATAACCTTAGATTAATATCAAACATTACTATTCAAAGATATCCAATCGTCATCAATCACTAAAATCATTTCTACTTCCCTCAATTCTCATTTATAAACAATTCACATTTGTATTACGTGCGCCAAATATGTCTACGCAAGAGCCTCCTCCAAAAAACCAACTTTCGTTTGGGATGAGGGAGGAAGCAAATAGTGGTGGTGAGATGTGAAATCAAGATGAGCTTGGAGGAGCTTGGAGGAGCGACGGGAACGATTTTTTGAAACGAGAGGAGGTTAGAGGAGCTTGGAGGAGGTTAGAGGAGCGACGGGAACAAACCCCTAGTGACCCCTTATCCTGAAGACCAGCTTGAGGCTGGAACAAAGCTTTCACATTACAAATTAGCTCTTGCTAGTTGCTTCTGCTATTAGAACACATGCATATTTTTTGCTCCTGCCTCAGTGTCCCAAAAATTGTCAATTTGGGTGGAAAATGACATCCAAATAAAATTCATTTTCCACTCTCACCATCAATTTTGAGGAGCAATTTTCCACTCCCAACCAAGAAAGGTTTGTTTTTTTTTTCTAGAAAAAGCAGTTGTGTGTGTGCTCGGCTTGAACTCATACATTCTATACTTTGTAGTAAAACATGCCATTGGTCTGTTTCCACTCTGTGGATCTGAATAACCAGCCCTTTAATACTCTCCCCCCTTTTAAGGGTTAATTTTCTCCTCTGACACCCCAGCTAAAAATCAATTTTGGGACACTGTCCTGCCTTGTGGCACGTCAGCTGCCCCTGCGAGTTAAAAAGCTAAAAGTTAAAAGTTGTAATCCAGCCTAATGGTATGGCAAGGTAAGGTTGACCAGCATTGCCTGATACAATAGGACTTTTCGCTCGCACAAACAGCAACAAGCTCTGAGGGCTGTTCGGCTGCGCAGCCAAAATGAATTACGCTGCAGCACGCATGCGCAGTGAGGGCTGCGTCGCCCGTTAGTCCCACCCACACGACTGTGTCATCGCCTGTATGACATCACCTACTGAAGCATACTTCTCTTGGTTCATTCAGCCAGAATGATGGTGCTGCAAGAGATGAAAGTTGCGCGGATTAAAGTTAACCGCCCAAAATTTCTTATATAAGGGGTTTCTTTGGTTTTTAGGTATCATTATCACTCATTTCAGTGGCGCATCGCTAGTAACACATTTGAACGCAATTTAACCATTATTTGAGCGACAATCACCAGTCCACCCGTGCAACGGTTCACCGCGTTTGAAATAGGCTGCAACGACGCTCGGCCATGTCGCGCCGGCGGAGAGTGGGCGCCAGGCGGTTGACATCACCCAAGTATGACGCATGCAGCACAGATCTTGATCTATGCTGCAGGGACCCGAACAGCCCTCTGCTTAGCATAGGCTATAGCTCCATCGGCATCAATGGCCACTCAAAGTTCAAGCTTATTACCTAAAATTGACAAACATGTATAAGAGAAGAAAAACCAAAAAGGAAACTGAATCTGATCCCAATTTTTTTATATCACATAAATATGTCCTATCACACATAGGTACAAACAAGGCTATATGGTACAAACGATTTCACCCGGGCAGGAAGCAAGATTCAAGTCTTTAGCCTAAATACCAAAATGCTTAGGACAAATGAACAGAAAAATCAGCAAATATGGAAATTCTTCTGAGGCAAGGTGCTCACAGGATATCAGTGCATTCAAAGAGGTGATCAAGGACACCTTTAGCATGAATGTAGCAGTTTCCAGATGTTTCCGGGTAGGCAAGTTGGTGCCAAATAGGCCAAGGCTGCTGATAGTGACACTTGAGACACCAGGGGTAAAGCATGAGATCCTCCGCATGGCCCCCATGCTACGTGGTTCTGAAAGATGGGGAAACATATACATCACCCCAGACTTAACTCGAACCGAGCGAGAGGCAGCCCGCAAGGTGAGAGAAGAGCTTGCAGCCCGCAAAGCAGCAGGTGAGACAAACCTAACCATCCGAAGGGGAAGGGTGGTCAAAATTGGTACCACCCCCAGAAACGAGGCTGTGGAGCACAGTACTGCTGCCTCTGAGGCTGCATCAGGAAGACAAATGGAAGTGAGCACCCGGCTTGACACTGGGTCTTCTCATCCGAACGGCACTTGCCAGGCTCCACATACTGACGACCCCACGGCTGTTGCAGCCGGGCATCAGAGGAGCACTCAGCAATGACTGTCGAACAATAACCAAGTCAGGATCAACAGAGCCAAAGCATTGAAATGCATGTACACAAATGCAGATCAGTTACCTAACAAGAGGGATGACTTGCTGTGTATGATCTCAGATGATTTGCCGGATCTCATTTTCATCACTGAATGTATACCAAAGGCGCAGGTGTCACCCATTGATCTTGCTCTATTGGACTTGCCCTGCTATAATCTCTACACCAGCTTCGATGCAGGTGAATATGGTCTAGGGGCAAAAGGAGCTCGAGGCATATGTGTTTATGTGTCAACAGCCATCCAGGCTGCTGTAATCTCACTTGGGAGGTACTCATCCATTGAGCACCTGTGGATTCAAATCGCACTTCAAGGTACAGATCGGTTGTTGGCCGGCTGTGTATACCGCAGTCCATCTGCGAATCCTACACAGAGTATTGAAGAAGTGGCACTACTCTTTCAAGCTGCAGCAGAAACAGGAGCATCACATCTTTTGATATCAGGGGATTTCAATATGCCGCAAATTGACTGGCACGAATGTTTCTGCTCGGCACCGGCTACACATCTTGCACACCATTTTCTTGCGATGGTGCAGGACTCGTTGCTTTTCCAGCACGTTTTGCATCCAACCAGGTATAGAGAGGGAGACACTCCGAGATGTCTTGACCTTTTATTTACCAATGAAGAGGGGATGCTGTCGGGTCTTAACTATCTCCCAGGTCTCGGCAAAAGTGACCACGTCGTGTTACGTTTCAACGTACACTGCTACACATCTCGAACGTCGTCAGACCAAGTAAGGTTAAATTTCAATCGGGCCAACTTCGACCTGTTAAACGAGAAGATCCGCAATCTGGACTGGCGATGCCTGGCTCATCTAGACATTGAAGAAGGCTTTGAATTCTTCAGAGATACCCTGTCAAGGCTGGTGGCAGCCTGCATCCCCTCAGCTCGTTGTTCCAAGTCCAGGAAGAACATCTACATGAACACGGAGGCACTGAGGATGAAGAAAAAGAAGAACCAGTTGTGGTTGAAGTACTCAATATCGCAGGATCCACTTGATTTGGCCAGGTTCAAGGCATGCAGAAATTCCCTTAGAAGCCTCACCAGGAGCTTGCGTAAAAACTTTGAATCTCAGCTGGCAGCAGATCTAAAGAAGAATCCCAGAGCCTTTTGGCGGTATACGAACTCCAGATTGAAGACGAAGCCGACTCTGGGTGACCTCCGGAACAACACTGGGACACTAGAGAGTAGAGACCACGTTAAGGCAACAATCCTGAACGACTTCTTCGGCTCCGTGTTCACGCAGGAGGAGCTCTCTGAAGTACCTGTTCTCACTGATCGCAGGCCGACACAGGATCTCACCGACATCTCGATAACTCCAGCGGCGGTACAGAGGAAGCTACTAACTCTGAACCCTGCTAGTGCACCGGGACCGGACAACATACACCCACGCGTTCTGCGGGAGACTAGCTCGGCTATCAGCGCTCCACTAGCTGCTCTCTACCGGCGGTCACTCGACACCGGCAAGTTACCACGCGCTTGGTCACTTGGCAGGATTGTGCCCATCTTTAAAAAAAGGAGACAAGCAACTGCCCAGCAACTACCGACCGGTGAGCCTGACCTCGGTTGCATGTAAGGTGTTCGAGTCACTGATCCGGGATGAAGTGTATCGGCATTTGACTGACGCACAGCTTCTCTCTGGCAGCCAACATGGGTTTCGTCCTAAGCGTTCATGCAGTTCCCAGTTGATTGAGACACTGAACGACTGGAGTATTGCTCTTGAAGGTCGTCACAGTATCGATGTGATATACCTGGACTTTCAAAAGGCCTTTGACTCGGTCCCTCATCAACGATTGCTGAACAAACTCTGCTGTTACGGCGTCAGAGGTAAACTCTTGAAGTGGATCGAGTCATTTCTGTCAAATCGTTGTCAGCAAGTGGCCGTAAACGGACAACTATCTGAGTGGAAGCAGGTAGCGAGTGGCGTTCCCCAGGGTTCGGTCTTGGGTCCGCTTCTCTTCCTGCTGTTTGTGAACGACCTGCCCGACCTGGTTCGATCGTCAATAAAGCTATTTGCAGACGACACCAAGCTTTACGCTAGTGTGTCCACACTTGGCGATGCGGCGATGATTCAGGCTGACCTTGATGCTCTCGTTCATTGGTCGGAGACTTGGCAGATGCCGTTCAATGAGCACAAGTGCAAGGTCCTTCACCTAGGTCACAGGCGACTTGACAACCAGTACACTATGAGGGATGTCCTCCTTAGTGCCACCGAAGAAGAGAAGGACTTGGGTGTCCTTATCGACTCCGACCTGAAGTTCAGGAGGCATGCTTCAGCAGCTGTAAGAAAAGCCACTCAAATGTTAGCGGTGATACGACGCTCCTTCGTGCTTCTCGATCAGCAAACAGTGCCACTGTTGTACAAATGCCTAGTGAGACCTCATTTGGAGTACGGCAACCTTGTATGGGGCCCGCACAACAGAGCTGACCAGAAACTCGTTGAAAGAGTTCAACGTAGAGCTACTCGGCTGGTAGCAAGTCTCCGTCAACTGCCCTACGAAGACCGACTTAGGACTCTGAAGTTGCCGTCTCTATACTACAGGCGAAGAAGAGGCGACATGATAGCGACCTACCAGATCTTCCATGGCGGCATAGATGTGGATCCAACCAGTTTATTCACGCTCGCTACCGACACTTCTACGAGAGGCCACCAGTTCAAGATCCGGAAAGTCCCAGCTTCAAGCAGAGTCAGGAGGTCAGCTTTTGCCATTCGTGTGGTAAACGACTGGAATGGGCTGCCGGCCGAGGTTGTTGGCTCTCCTTCGCTGAACGTATTCAAAAGCCGCCTGGACGCCCACTGGGCTTCGCTTCAGTATCTGGTGCCTGACACTGATTGAGTCGAGTCAAAACGGAACACATGAGTTCGATGAGAGCGGGACCTCCAGGCCTTAGTGCCTTTACAATATCCCGATCACTTTAAGGTAAGGTAAGGTAAGGTAAATATCATCCAAAACAGTACAACAATCGTCCAACTACGGTTACCTACCTACTAAACTACACACACCTATCACTTCAATCTTTATCAACAAATCAACCACCACGACGAGACAAAAGTCGGCGCAAAGTCGGCAGGCGGATGGGCGCGCAGCATTACAACTGTGTTCGGTGAAATGGATTTAATGAAGCCTGCTCGAAAGCGATGATGTGTTGCCTAGCAACAAGCGCTTTCGTCAGCAAATATCTAGGCTATTGGAGTATCTCGCATTCTTCATGATTTTCTCCCATGGCTGCTGAACATGCTGCTCAATATCGGGGGTCATCAAGTGTTGATCAGTGTGTATGCATGGTATATGAATTTCCATATATTTGATGTTTTGGATAGGTATGGTGTCGGGAAAATCTTTTCATTTTGTGGTGGGATGTCATTTCTTTCTTATTACTCTATTGTTATGTAATTTGTATACACCAGCGCGGTTCAAATCAAAATGGCTTGATTCTGCTTCAGCGGTTTGGTTTGTGGGTGTTACACCCAAGGCATTATGTTACACCGGTTTATATAGCCTTGGTTACACCCATATTATGTGTTAAATTATTATGGTGCTAAATTATCGCCCTGGTTGCTTGTATGATTAAAAAAAAATCATTAAATTATGCCATTATGGTTTACTTACCTGGTTTACTTACCTGGTTGGGTTCCCTTCGCTTGGTAGTCTTAGGAAAAAGGGCTGGTAAGGAAGGATAGGAACCCTGTCTCACAAGACACGCCAGTTCAAAACATGCTATACAGTTGTTCCAGTTTGGCAACATAGATCACAAGAATGAGAACTGGAAATGTGTGTCTGCAGTATGACAGGCAATAGATACATTTCATGTTAGCGATAATACATACAGAGAATACCAATATAACGAGCGATTTTACAAATATTCTACGAGTTTGTCTGGGATATGCTGTTCAAGACCCCTCTTGAAGGACTGGATGTCCGGAGCAGTAACAACAGATTCAGGGAGGCTGTTCCAGAGGTTAACACATCGTTTGGAGAAAAAGCGCTTACGTACATCAGTGCACGAACGGGTCACATAAATCTTACGACTGTGACCTCTGGTGACGCTGCTGTCGGTTAGAGTGAACATGGAGTCTGGACTTATACAGCTGTGACCATTCACAATCTTCCAGTACTGGATGAGGTCAGCCCTAGTCAGCCTTCCCTGTACAGAGTAGAGCCCTAGCCTGTTCAGTCTCTCTGCATAAGTTAAGTCTGATAGTGACTCCACGCGCTTAGTCCATTGCCTCTGGACACGTTCGAGTTTCCGAGCATCCTCCACGTAGCCTGTGTTCCAAAGACACGAACCATATTCAATAACTGGTCTGACGTGGGTCTTGAAAAGGAATGTCATAAAATCAGGATTGCGACACACTGTGGATTTGAGGAAGCTGTGGCAGAGTCCTGAGGCTTTGTGAGCGACGGATTCAATGTGTAGGTGGAACTTCAAGGATATGTCCACTGTAACCCCTAAGTCAGGATGTGAGCTGACAAAGGGTAGCGGGTTCCCATTAAGGACATAGGGGGTGGGGGGCACCTGTTCTAGGTTCCGGGAGGATCTGGAGAATCTTAGCACGGCGCATTTACTGGCGTTTAGATGCAGTCCCCAGGATTCAGAAGTGCGCACTAGAACGTCCACATCAGATTGCAATGACTGCACAGGGTTGGTATCGTCTGCGTCAGTCAACCTGCTAGTACATGCATAAATTTTTAAGTCATCAGCGAACACCTTATGCCTACAAGACAGTTGAGAGGCTATGTGGTTGATATACACAAGAAAAAGGAGAGGGCCGAGGACCGATCCCTGAGGGACACCACTTAATACAGCCTTAGCGCTACTCAGTATGTCCATCACGCCGACCTGTAACGTTCTGTGAGAGAGAAACGATGAGATCCAGTCAAGAAGCGAGCCATCAATCCCGATGAGGCGAAGTTTGGTCAATAGTATGCTGTGGTTCACAACATCAAAGGCCTTGCTGTAGTCAAACAGGATTACATCAACTGTGCTACCATCATCCAGTGCCTGTGAAACATCATTGTACACCAGCAGCAACTGGTCAACGGTGGAGCGCCCCGGGCGGAATCCAAACTGGTGATCAGACAAGACAGAGTGTTCCTCCAGGTAGCTGTGGACATGGGCACATATTAGTCTTTCCATGGCCTTGCAAGACACTGAGGTTAGGCTGATGGGCCTGTAATTCAGTAAACTATATGGTGGTAAACTATCAGACTCCGTTGTTTTGCTTTGCACTTCTTCAATGAACTAAGGGTTTAGGCTTAGGTTTAGGTTTAATCGGATGGGCTGGTGTAGACTAGGTGTCTATTCGGTGCCCACGTCAGGTATAAGGTAGTATACTGGACTGATTGGATCTAGGGTATAGCCTAGGGTAAGGGATTATGGGTAGGTACAGTTTCAAATTCAATATTCATTATAAATCAGTTACCTATGGGTGTTGAAATGTCTTTCTTGGAAAAATGGTGCACTTTAATTTCTGCTCTTTGACATAATAGATACCTAGGCTGCTAAATTGACCCAACCTTAGGTCACCAGTATAAAAATCATGTATATCTTTTTGCGCCCTTTTTTCTCTTTTTTCATCTTTTTTGATTTTTCTCCCCTTTGTATAGTCAATTCTGATTTATCAAGTATTTTGGCAGAAGTGAATAGCAGAGCAGCAGGATGGTCTGTGTTTATCAACCAGTGCATTTCAATTTGTTGTATTGACAGTTGCCAGTGTCTGCACTCTTCTGCTGAACTTTGAGTGTGTGTATCAGGAATAGAAGCTGTTCCTACTCCTAGACCTCTGAAAATGTCTGCACTGGTGGATTTCTTCCAAAAGGGGAAGGTGAGAACTTCTATCTTTTGATGCAACAGTATGAAGTATTGCAATTTTTCATGTTTGTCATTGAGTGGGCTAACTAAAAGCAGAATTAACAGTGATTTACATGTTATGTACACTGAGTACAGCCCAGACTTATGTTCTTGCTACTGGATTATTGACCTGGTATGAATTATGTACAGCTCACGCCTCACACTTATGTTATTACCACTGGATTCTTATATTCAACCAAAGCATGTCAGTATTGGAAATGTTGTCTTGAAAGATAAATGTCATTATCTTATCATTGCATTTCATGTGTTACAGACATTTCGTCCAAAGAAGAATTTTCAGCCAGGCACCTTGAAGTATTCGCTGTACAAGCACGCCCAGGCATCACTGAACTCGGGCCTGAACCTGAGGCTGGCTGTCAAGCTGCCCCCTGGGGAACAGCTAAATGACTGGATTGCAGTCCATGGTATGGAAACCAGTAAAATGCCTTTTGGGCGAAGAACGAGCGAGCGAGATAGTGAGCCCTGCACGTGCGGAAGGGCGAGAGGGTACTTCAAACGGGCTTGTGCAAAGCACCCTTCTAACCAGTCGCTAGCGGTGTGCCAAATTTGAACGCAATCGGCCCAGCCGTTCCTGAGATCTGGAAGTGGCATTCTGCACGTGTGCGCGTGCAAACGGGGTCCAAAATGACTTTTGCACGGCACCCTACTAACCGGTCCCCAACCGTGTACCAAATTTGAGCGCAATCGGCCCAGCCGTTCTCGAGATCTGGAAACGCCCCCTGCACGTGCGCACGTGCAGTAGCACCCTAACTGCAACACATGGGAATGCATTGCTTGGTGGGGGTGCCTACTTGTATGCCAAGTTTCAGCGAAATCGCCCCAGTAATTACCGAGTTACTGAAATGGGAACAAATTTGGCACCTCTTCTTTTTGTATTTTGCACGTGCAGTGGGGGTCACTCACATAGATCAAGAGTATCCGACCTTTGGTAGAATGGATGCAGCTACCCTATAAAAATTACCGCAAGACAATCGCTCAAGCCGCTGCTGAGATATGGGCCTCTCAAAATCTTTTTTTTTGGGCCTCTCAAAATCACTACTTTTGCAAAACTGCTTGAACACCCTTGACTTTTCACGTGGCACGTCCACGACGGTCACTGAGATGTATCAGAAGTAGTCAATTACGGGGTAGAAGGGATGGGGCTACCCAGTAAAAAAGACCGCAGGCCAATCGGTCCAGCGGTTGCTGAGATATAAGCCTCTCAAAAGCGTTACAGGCCGGGCCGGGCCGGGCCGAGCCGAGCCGAGCCGGGCCGCTCATACTGAGATTTTTCCGTTATATTGAAAAGACTTCGCTTCGCTCGCTCGTTCGTAATAACCTGTATCGAACTCACACTATTAACACAGCCGCCAGTCTTAAATGCCATGCATTTAATGCTGAATCATTCCATGTCAGTGTCGCTAGTCTCCCAACTTTTCCTACGCTCATTCCAGTTGTCGACTTCTTCAACCGGATCAACCTGATCTACGGCACCATCTGTGACAACTGCACGGAGGAGTCGTGCCCGGTGATGTCCGGCGGACCGAAGTTCGAGTATCGCTGGGCCGACGGCAACAAGTACAAGAAGCCGACGGCGCTCTCCGCACCCCAGTACATCACACTACTGATGGAGTGGGTGGAGGCGCAGATCAACGACGAGTCCATCTTCCCCGTGACAGTCGGTGAGACGCGCGGTGGGGTGGGGGCGGGGTGGGGATGGGAAAAGGAAGTGGTAGAGATAGGACGGTGTGGGGTGGGGCGCGGTTGTCACTTGTCAATGTGACGTGTGCTTTGTGACAGCTGGGCCACGTGAAGTGGTGGAAGGGATCGGAGCGACCGGTCAGGGCACAGGCCGGGACAATAATATGTGTAGTGAGTTGGATGCTTGCATCCAGTTTAGATATATTTTTGCATCCAAAAGGCGTCAATTTGATGCTCACTCATAACATATCGTTAGTAGTGAAACTTGGACGCCATGAAAACAGTGCAGTATTGGTGTGGTTTACAGTCGCCGACTTTGTATTTTAGCGGTTTATCGATATACAAAGCATAACCACGCGTTACGTCGGCCCAATGTTATCTGTTTTACATTAACTTGACTCCGGCCCTTTCCATTCGCAGATGTGCCGTTTCCAAAGACCTTCTCCAGCCTGTCGAAGAAGATTCTGACGCGTCTGTTCCGTGTGTTTGTGCATGTCTACATCCACCACTTTGACCGGCTGGTGGCCATCGGAGCGGTAAGTTCCGTGCAACTGCCCGTAGATCGACGGAGATAGCGATACTTTTTCTGCTCTTGCTTTTGGAAGCCAGTTGTGTTGTACGACTTGATGTGGTAATTATTTTATGCTTGCCATAGTATGTTGGTGACCTTTCATCTTTAAGTCCAGTTATAATGTTCTGCGTTCTTATTTACCTTCGTTTGCTGGCGAGTGTTGATTGATTAATGATTTGTTTGTTTCTGACAGTTGACACATTGCCGGCGTTGCTGCTACTGCTCGAACGATTGTAGCTGTTTTTTATAACAGTGTCATTATTGCGAACAATTCTACCAACACAGGAGTGAGGAGCGGTAACTGACTTGTTGGCTCCACCGTCTCCAGGAAGCACACGTTAACTCGTGCTACAAGCACTTCTACTACTTTGTCACGGAGTTCGACCTGGTCAAGGATCGCGAACTGGACGCCCTGAAGGAGATGACCCTGCGCCTCTGCCGGGATCCAGACCCGAGCGGGCAGCCGCCGCCGGTCGGCTCAGGGGTCGGCCTTCACTGACGGGCTCAGGTCAGATGGGAGTGCCGGGGTCCGGTCAGGAGACTGGACGGGGTAGGTGCCCTGTCGGAGGAGCTGGCGATTGTTCTGACCACGGCATAATCAGTGGTGATTATCCAGCCACGCGACAAGACTTGAGGCTCGGCGGGGTGCTTTGAATCGTGCTGACTGCGTCGGCAGAGATTGTATTTTTATCTGGCTTCAGAGGTGGGATGATCCATTATCGTGGCTGCGGATCGCAGGCTGTTGGTCAGAGATTTGACGGCTTTTGATCGGATGTACTTATTCATATGCTTGACATTGCTGATTGATACTCTGAATGTAGTTAGTTGCAAGTGTATTGCATATGACTTCATAGCACTGCATGCTAATAGCTGGCAAATTAGCGATATCGTCCATTGTTAGTTATCTTTGCAGTCCTTGCCCCATCTTATCCTTATGACCGTTCCATTGCTCGTTTGTCTAACATTGCATTTTACTGTGCACCATTACTAAGTACTGGATAGAAAATGTTCATTAGCTAATTACTTTACGGATCTAAAAGTTATTTAGGATGACTTTCGTACACCAAGCAGAGCTTTACCTCCTGATGATTTTACATCTATTCGAAATGCCAGATGTCCTAGATAGATTTCGTACTTTTGTAGGAGTTCAGTGCCTCCATGATACTAGTCTATCCCATTTTTGCCACATGCGTTTTTCATAAACTACCCGTCACTGTATATTCAGTATTCACCCGTTTATTCACAGTTTTAGGCTGCCGTGGCTTATGTTATGCCAATCGCTTCGCATTACCTCGTAGCGATGTGATGAGATAGGAATTTCGTCACTTTCCTTTGTATACACATTTAATCAATCTCACTGATACCAAAACACATTCGACGTCATTGTTTGCTCGTTGAGTGGTTTCTTCTGTCATCCTTTGCCTTTTAGTTTCCGTTCTTTTTTTTTTTCCTTTAATGATCACGTCTTCGACTGAGGGCTGCGATTTGATTCATGTTTATGTTCGGTTGTGATTTTAGGAACAACACTCCAGTTAAAATGGCCCTGAGCCTTGACAGGCAAATTGTTTTTTGTCATTCTTAAGTGCTTGGTAAGTATATACTATCGTACCTATAATATACTTTTATTATTGGGTCGGCAAAGTTTTGCCGTTTGCGTGAATTTCACATGTGTGGTCTGTACCTTGTCCAAGGACTAGTCCCCTGATCTGCATGAAGTTTGGTACTTCTCAAAGCAAATAAGGGCATTCTGCTCGCTATGTTAGGTTTTGAGTCATAGAGCAACACCGTCATTGATGATTTAGCATGAAATTACATAAGCGTATAAGAATGAAATAAGTCATGTCTGTGCAAACTACGGAAAGAATTATACCATTTTCGTAATAATTTTGTTATGTATGATACGTTTTTTATTGCCACATCTGACATCTTTGCATGCTGTGTTTCTCGCTTCGCGTGTTTTCAAGACAATAACTCCGATTTTGGATGTTTGTATCCCTTATCACAATTTTATTTATGCTTAGACAACATTCAATTGATGCCCGTCGGAAAGCTATATGCTCTGTGGCATCCTTGCTTAGCTTATAGAAGCTTACGATGCTCTGAAGGACAATAAGTGCTAGCGTACCGATGTGACTCAACCGACGACTCAGTCTCTTGTGCCTGAAGGGTCAGGTAGCGCAGAAGTCACGTGACGAGATGGCACTCACTGATGCCACCACGTGACCTTGTCAGCAGGTGCGTTCGATCCGTTGTGAAATACCACGTGACGGGAGCTCGTCTGGTGTCAGCCGGCCCGTCGTCGGTGCTTGTGATATTGCTGTAGTCTGTGCTGAAATGTGTTTTGTATGGGAGGGGGATCGGGAGTGTATGTGTGTAATGTGTATGCTAAATCCCGCATCATGAGTCACGAACTTAGCAATAGCAGTCGTCCGCGTGTATAACATCCTGTCCTGTGCTTCCTGTGGATTCGTTCAACCGTTACCATATTCCCACTGACGTGTTCTTCCACGCCCTCTGCTATTTCTTTTCTTTTTTACATCCCTTTTTCTCATTGTGATTGCTCCATCCGGAATGTTCGAAACCTGTTTAGAAACGGTTGTGATATTCTGATTAGCGTTCATCGCTTCACGCATAGGAGCATAACATTTAGTCTCCGGGCATTATTATTTAATTGTAGTCAAATGCTAGCTAGATAGTAATTTCGATGCATAGCTGCGCTTGTGCTTATCAATAAACCTGCTAATAATGTTCGGTGTTCTTGTGTCGGCTCAGGATTCGATCAAGGTGCTCTGCGATATTTGTGTTATAACTGGGGATCCTTGCGATTCATATCAGGATGGAAGAAGTTTTGTCATATTGGGCGTCAGGTACAAATTTACGCAGTGTGTTTGACTCGCCTTTAAGTCGGCCCATTTTGCTGATAGCCCTTTTCAACAAGATTGTCTGTTTCAGTTTGGTCGTGTATTTCACCGCATTTGCTGCGATAACAGCTACGTTTCCATCAAAACTTTCGTGAAGAGCTCGGCCCTGATGCTACAGTACGACGCAATCCTTGACTATCGCGTTTGCGTGTTTGATGGATTATCCATATGTATATGCACCGGCTTCCCACCTGTAGCCTACGGCTTTTGTGTCCCTTTTCTGTGCTTAGCGCAGTGACATCGCACATCATTATCAACTGATCGGACATCAAGTAAGGGACTTGCACTTTGAAATATTGAATAGCAGCACAGCTCAGGCACATGTGTGTCACGAATTGTCCGTAAGGCATGTGTGCATTTGTCCCGCTCATGGGCCTAGCCCGGTATTACACCGAGCCTCCCTGTCCACCGTATCGCTCGCCACTATCTCACTGCCAGGGCTCTTCCTCCCCGTCCTCCTCCCCCTCTTCCTGCCTCCCCCTCTGCCCCTCTTCCTGCCTCCCCGTCTGCCCCTCTTCCTGTCCTCCCCTCTCCCCCTCTTCCGCCGAATCCGGCACCTTGGCGGCGCCCGCCTCTGACGGCAGTCCCTCGAAGTCGAACTGCAGTCCCTGGAACAGAGATGGCGCTGCGGACGCGGCGCGGCCCTCTTCCTCGCTGTCGGGCCCAGGAAAGTCGGCGGTCGGTGGGGCCAGGCTGAGCGCGGCCGGGCTGACTGAGCGGGCACGGTCGGCTGAGGGGGGTGCCAGGGGGCCGGGCGTAGCGGCAGCAGACGGCGGCCGAGGCGCGGTGCGGATCACACGGGTACCCTGTGGACCGAGCGGGGAGGGGGTCAGGGCTTATGCATTATGTTATTACAGGCATCTGCCTTCCTCTGTTATCGGGCGCTCATTGCTTTATTGCTTTGTCAGACAACTGAAAACGGCACTACCCTGACACTTTGGCAGTCCAACATTTAAGTCGTGGACATCAGCTCACTCTTTTAAATTCATCTGACTTGGTCACTAGTAAGCCATCTGTACTCCTACGTTTACCACTGTTACTTTTTTATCATTTCGTTACTGTTTTTTATTACGTTTTGCTTCCAAATCAACCCTTTCCAACCATCCTAACATCATCTCACCTCACGAACATGCTCACTGAATTGTAACATCTCGCTTCCAGGGCTAATCTTTGATAGGTTGCTCGCATTCCCCTGCCTTGACCTGAAGATAGCCCCGCTCCCTTCACTCCCAGCTCAGAGCACGATTATGCCGCCCACCCCGTTCCTGACCTATGGGTAGGCCCCGCCCCACTGCTAACCTGTTCTCCCGACGGCGGTCGGTCCATGGCGATCGGTGTGCGAGTCTCCCGACCGCTGATGCTCATACGATGCACAGAGACGAACGGTGCGTGCCCGGTGAGGATGCGGAACCGTAGGTAGTTGGCGGTAACATCCTGGGGCGACACCGTCTCCGTCTGCAGCTTGCCGGCCTGGTGCTGGAACGCTGGCGGTTAAAGGGGAGGATATTCCGTAAATAATGATGGGAAGACTGCGACAGACGGTGGGAGGACGATGCCAGACGGTGGAATGAAATGAGATGGTGAGTGGGACGGTACCAGACAGGTGGCGGCGCCAGGTCCAGGTACCTCAAGTAGATTTAGGGCCTTGGGTAAGAATGCATGTACAGATGGACGGCTCAGTCTGTTTTTGTGATAACTCACTAACGCCAGAGGAGCTCCCAGAGCTCATTCGAGTTCGTTGACCTCTCCTAGCCTGGTTTGAGCCAGAAGCCTCGCCTACAAAAGCGCCCACATTGACCGGTCTGTGAGCCGTGGGGCGCCACTGTGTGTCGTCACGGTAGTCGCGTGCATGGGTCGTTCGGCAATCGGCCCGACACGTCAGTCATGGTACCGTGCGGTGATGAGCTCCCAGAAACGGAGCGGTCGTTATTTGGGATTTGCATAATAGGGATATTTGCTGAGTAGATAATGATGACAAGCAGAGCGTTCGAGCGTAGGCTAGTGCGCTATCCCCATGCAGTATAAAGCATCGAATCAATGCGATCAATTGATCAATAGTACCTACGGTGATTGGTGGGTGTCGATAAACTATACGATGCCAAGTGCTGACAGTGACACGTGATATGACATACATATGTGTGTGTTGCCGACAAACTAGGCAAATGTCGCGCCGCCGATGCCGAGCCGAGCCGCCGCCGCGCCGCCCCTCACCCCGCCCCGCCGGTCCCGCCACCGGGCCGGGCCGCCGCCCGCCCAGCGGCCACCTGTCGCCGCGCATGTTTTTTTTTTTCTGAGACAGAAGCAATGGGCCATATCGACGCCGCGAACGGTGGACTGGCGTCCCCCTGTGAGCCTGCGACCCGGCTGACCTGTGACCTGTTCCGAATGGGGCCGGCGGGGCCCTGGGCCTGGGAACTGGAAGGGTGTGTGAGGGGACGCGGCGTGCCGGCCGCCTTTTTTGTGCTCTGTGTCACGACCCCTGTATCGTGTGACATTTTGGCCATGTATTTGAACCGATACCGGGCTCTGCTCGGTCTCACTTCACTGTTAGTCGCCGACGAGTTCACTTCGCTCTCAAACGCGGACGGCGGCGCTCTGCTGCCGCTCACGTCTAACTTTTCTAACTACTGTGTCTGTGCTGTACTGCTGCCATCTCGCCGTCTTCGGTCAATAGCGAACTCTTCTATTTAGAAGACTGTGTTTAAGTGGTGGTGGTGTGAGTGAAACCGAAGTGGCGAGTGGAGGAAAGGAGAGCGGCGCGCAGCTCACAGTTCTCACGGTGGCCGGGTCTACTCACTATTCCTATCAATCCTCTGTCATCCTACATTATATGCATGCCGCGAGGTGTGCTCCTTATGCGCTCTGAGACGGGCGCTGTTGAACGACCCAACATGCATGCCGCGAGGTGTGCACCTTATGCGCTCTGAGACGTGCGCTGTTGAACGACCCAACATGCATGCCGCGGGGTGTGCTCCTTATGCGCTCTGAGACGGGCGCTGTTGAACGACCCAACATGCATGCCGCGAGGTGTGCTCCTTATGCGCTCTGAGACGGGCGCTGTTGAACCTTTGATCCGTAAATTATTCATCCGTGTTTATTTATTTACCGATTAGATACTTCCCTTCTTCATTATTCGTTCACTGCCTCTATTAATCCTACATCCTCTCACAATTTCCCCCGGCCGCCAACCCGAATGCTGCGAGACGTAACAAACACTATACAGTCCACACAAGAAAGCCAGAGACGTCCGCAACATTCGCTGGTCCTCCGGGCCGGATAGTATCAGTTAAGAATGTAAGAAGTCAAGAAGAGAATGTACAATAAGTCGATACTGTGCGTGAACGACCGTCCGTGACGTCGATAAGTTCTGCTCCCACCGTGTCAGTCGAATTGAGAAGCATCGTGGACCGATGGAAGACGCGATGGAGACGGAGCACCAGGAGACGACGCCTGAGAATTGCGAGCCTACAGGGCAAGAGGAGACGGAGACGGAGAACCGGGAGACGATGCCAGAGAACTGCGACCCTGCAGGAGGAGAGGATGGAGATATCACCGCTGAACGGAAGGCATTAAAGCTTCATCGCGGTCGCAAGGCGGCCATGTTCACACGCTCGTGTAACAGGGCTGACGCGCAAATAGCGCGGCGAGCCAGTGAAGAGGAATTGAAGAAGCGGCTCAAGACGCTGCACACAACGCTGGACGCCTTCATGGAGGCAAATGAGGAGTTCGTAGAGAAGTTGCAAGATGTGAGCGAGTTGGAAGAAGCGGAGGAGTACGCCACAAGAATAACAGCACGGCACGCCGAAACGGTCGCAAGAATTGAAGAGGCGATAACTCGCCCATCAGCGAGCCGCTCAGCGTCACGCACAGGAATGCTCCCCCTACCATCGGTGCAACTTGAGGAAGGAAGCAAAGTGTGTGGGTCTCACATATCACGAGGCTCAAAGGCTTCAGCCACTTTCAAGGAGGCTGAAATCACCGCGGAATTGAAAGCTCTCGAACTAAAGCATCTCAAAGCAAGGAAAGAAAGAGAACGAGAGATGAGAAAACAGGAAGATATGCTGGAAGAAGCAAGGAAAGAAAGAGAACGAGAGATGAGAAAGCAGGAAGATTTGCTGGAAGAAAGGGCTCTAGAAGAGGAGGTGGAACGTGCAGCTTTGAAGGCGCGTCTCTGGAAGGCAGCTGGCAACGAGTTGGAGTGGGAACGAAGACACGACTTTGAAGATGAGGTCGCTGTGGAAGTGGCGCCTAGTCGTCAAAACAACACCGGATGCGGCCGCGAGAAGGGAAACGAGCAAGAGCAAGAACGCGTGGTCAGTGGTTTGGGAGAGCTCCGGCGCGAGCCGCCGCCACCGAAAGCTACTAGTACCTCTCCGATGGCCGACGAGACGCCGAGAACTGCCAACCAGGACCCAACCAGCTGGGTGACAGCGTTGGGTTCCGAGCGGCGATGTGACGTCCCGGGTCCCATCAGCATTCGTGAAAAGTATACCACGTCTGACGCTGCCTACCTTCCGAGGCAGCCCTCAAGAGTGGCCTCGCTGGATCGGCCTATTTAAGGCGCTCGTCCACGACCAGCCGTCTCTATCGGACTCAGAGCGAATGGCTCACTTGCAGAACGCCGTAGAAGGGCCGGCAGCCCAAGCTATTGAAGGCATGTTGTTCAATGGCAGCCTCTACCTGGAAGCTCTGAGAACCCTACAAGAAAGATTTGGGAGAGAAGAAGATATCATCCAAAGTCACTTGAGGAAAATCTTCACTTCCAACCCACCAGCTCTCACGGATCTTCCAGCCATGGAAAAGTTCTACGCCATCGTTCATAACACAGTGACCGTCCTACAGAATCTTGGCTATTCAAGCGATCTGTCCAGTAGTGAGAACCTCAGGAGGGTGGTGGAGAAGCTGCCGAATGAGCTGGCCCGAGAATGGGGTCGTGAAGTGTTTCGGCTACGGCCAAAACGACCCACTCTGAAGACCTTCAGCGAATGGCTTCAGGTGCAAGTCAGCATCCTCAGCTTCTCGGCCGTCCAGTCTGGAACGTCGGAACGGAAACGTGCAACAGGCACGCAGCGTGAAGGAGCTGTACGGAGGACAGCGCTCACGACTGGAGCGACCCACGAAGCTGGAGAAGTGGAGCCACGTTCACCGCCGCCCTGTCTGGTGTGCAGTGAAAAACACAGGGTAACTGACTGCCCGTCGTTCAAGGGCAAAACATTGGAAGCGAGAATGGAGATGGTGTACGAGAACGGTCTTTGCTTCTCATGTCTGAGGAAAGGCCATTGGACCAGGAGATGCAGATCCTCACGGAAGTGCGGCGTGGAGGGCTGCAAGCTCACTCATCATCCAATGCTACACAGAACCTCAAGAAACGCGAGACACGATGAGGGAAGCTCAGGGGAAGAAGACTCTACGAGTGGATCATCAACGGCTGCGGCGCCACATCGGCAAGCTAAAGGCAGGGGAAACTCGCCGTTTGTAGCAGCCTCCCTCAGCAATGAGACCGACACACTGCTGCAGGTCGTTCAGGTTCGCGTCCACGGAGCGGCCAAGTCAAAGGACGTCCTGGCGCTGCTAGATACCGGAGCTCAGACATCACTGTGCAGCGCTGATGTTCTGCAGGAGTTGGGCATCACCGGGGACCTTCGCCAGCTCTGCATCCAAAATGTGGAGGGAAGCGGAGCTCAGAAACCATCTGAATGCGTTACCCTGACGGTTAGCGCACTCGGCGATGGTGTGAAGAGAGGGTACATCGAAATCCCTGAAGCCTGGGCTGTACCATCACTGAATGTGACTGCCCCAACGGTATCTCACCGCCAACTCAGGCAATGCAAACATCTCCGTGGACTAGCATTTCCGCAGTATGATGGCGGTGAAGTGAAACTGCTGCTCGGAGGGAACGTGCTGGAAGCTGTTCTCCAACAGGAAGTACGAAAGGGTCATTCCAACCAGCCAGCAGCTATAAGAACCGGGTTTGGATGGGCACTAGCTGGTTCCATATCAGCAGTGAAGCCAAGCAGCCTGCGCCAGGTTATGTTCCTGCAACGCAACGCCCAGAGCAGCGACGACGAGCTAGCAACCACCGTGAAGGACTGGTGCACGGAGGCTTTTGGGACCAAGTACGACAAGCCTGTGGAACAGTCCCGGGAGGATGAGCGTGCGCTGTCAATCCTGAAAGGCAAAACAAAAGAGCCTCCGGACAGGTATGAAACAGGCATGCTGCGGAAGGAAGACCGGGTGGAGCTCCCCGACAACGGACGGATCGCAATGATACGGCTCGAAGCCACGGAACGAAAACTCAAACGCAACTACGACCTGACCAGAAAGGAGCAGTGCCGTCACGTGTCAGGAACGCTGAATCCTGTAGACGACTGCTCAAGAGAGCTGGCCGCGTCAGAGCTAGCGCCAGACTGCAGATGGCTCCGCGGACCCGGGCTTCTGTGGCAAGATGAGGGAGACTGGCCATCAAAGCAAGACGCAAGCCCGCTCAGACCAGGACAAGAGGAAGTGAAGGAAGAGAGCTTCATGGGACTCACAACCCAACGACAGCCCGTGCTACCAGACGCCATGAAGAGCTCAGGCTGGCTCAAGTACCGTCGAGCGGCGGCCTGTGTGAGACGTTTCACTCACAACACAGCCATATGCGCCTCAGACGATGAAACGCGTCTCAGCGGACCTCTCAGTGCCCAAGAACTCAGGGATGCCGAAGTCTGGATACTCAAACGAGTGCAGAGGACAAGCTATCCGGAGGAAACCCACAGTCGGGCGCTGGGGAACGAGCTACCTGGAAAGAGTGATTTGCTTCCGCTCTCACCACACCACGACGCAAGGCGAGGGAGACCAACAGTTATCCTCTCCGATAACGGCGCCAACATCGTGGGAAGCTGTCTTGAGCTAAAGGCGGAGCTGCAAGCCATGGAAAGAGAGATCGCAGGAAAGCTCATTGTCTTCGAACTTGACCGGCTCTTCAACCTCCCGGCTGCTAGCCACATGGGGGGAGTGTGGAGGAGAATTGGGCGATCGGTGAAGAAATTTCTGAAGAAGGTGATGGGTCCACAGGCGCTCACAGACGAAGAACTTGTGACGGTGCCCACTGAAGTTGAGCACATAGTCGACAATCGACCCCTGATCCACGTCAGCTTGGAGCCGCCAGACCCAGAAGTTCTGACGCAAAATCATTTTCTGCTCGGTGGCGCTTCGAGGCATCTCGCGCCAGGGCTCGTGGAAAGACAGAGACATGTGCAGCCGACACCGATGGAAGCATGTCCAAGCTGTGGCGGAACATGTGTGGAAGAGGTGGACAAGAGAGTACGTGCCGACTCTCATCCAGAGGAGCAAGTGGCGCAAGGAGCAGAGAAACCTGCAAGTCGGGGACTTAGTGCTGATGGCAGACCCAAACATGTTTCGGGGCTCATGTCCGTTGGCCCGCATCTGCCGCGTGTTGCCGGCAGCGGGTGGCAGAGTCCGGTCGGCCGGGCTTCAAACGGCTATCGCGAAACTGTACACGCGACCAGCCACCAAGATCTGCTTCTGAGAAGAGGAATGCAAGTGAATCTGCGCGGACGGAGAGTAGGAGGATGTCGAAAACATGAAGGAAAACGAGGAAGGAAGAAGACGATGAAGAAGAAAGGGGTACAACTACATTGAAGCGGAGAACGGGACGAACCGAGAGGAGAAAAGTCAACACATGGCGAGCGAGCGCCGTGTTGGTCGGCCTGGTCTGGCTCGGCTTATTCGCTCAGCAAATGTCTGATGTCCATGTGTGCCGCTTACTAGTGAGTAGTCATAGGAATAGCGTGTGAAAAGTTTGTCGGTCATTTGTGTGTGTTCGGAACGTACGACCGAACACAGGGGGGAGTGATGTTGCCGACAAACTAGGCAAATGTCGCGCCGCCGATGCCGAGCCGAGCCGCCGCCGCGCCGCCCCTCACCCCGCCCCGCCGGTCCCGCCACCGGGCCGGGCCGCCGCCCGCCCAGCGGCCACCTGTCGCCGCGCATGGTTTTTTTTTCTGAGACAGAAGCAATGGGCCATATCGACGCCGCGAACGGTGGACTGGCGTCCCCCTGTGAGCCTGCGACCCGGCTGACCTGTGACCTGTTCCGAATGGGGCCGGCGGGGCCCTGGGCCTGGGAACTGGAAGGGTGTGTGAGGGGACGCGGCGTGCCGGCCGCCTTTTTTGTGCTCTGTGTCACGACCCCTGTATCGTGTGACATTTTGGCCATGTATTTGAACCGATACCGGGCTCTGCTCGGTCTCACTTCACTGTTAGTCGCCGACGAGTTCACTTCGCTCTCAAACGCGGACGGCGGCGCTCTGCTGCCGCTCACGTCTAACTTTTCTAACTACTGTGTCTGTGCTGTACTGCTGCCATCTCGCCGTCTTCGGTCAATAGCGAACTCTTCTATTTAGAAGACTGTGTTTAAGTGGTGGTGGTGTGAGTGAAACCGAAGTGGCGAGTGGAGGAAAGGAGAGCGGCGCGCAGCTCACAGTTCTCACGGTGGCCGGGTCTACTCACTATTCCTATCAATCCTCTGTCATCCTACATTATATGCATGCCGCGAGGTGTGCTCCTTATGCGCTCTGAGACGGGCGCTGTTGAACGACCCAACATGCATGCCGCGAGGTGTGCACCTTATGCGCTCTGAGACGTGCGCTGTTGAACGACCCAACATGCATGCCGCGGGGTGTGCTCCTTATGCGCTCTGAGACGGGCGCTGTTGAACGACCCAACATGCATGCCGCGAGGTGTGCTCCTTATGCGCTCTGAGACGGGCGCTGTTGAACCTTTGATCCGTAAATTATTCATCCGTGTTTAGTTATTTACCGATTAGATACTTCCCTTCTTCATTATTCGTTCACTGCCTCTATTAATCCCACATCCTCTCACAATTTCCCCCGGCCGCCAACCCGAATGCTGCGAGACGTAACAAACACTATACAGTCCACACAAGAAAGCCAGAGACGTCCGCAACAGTGTGTCTTGTGCAAGGTGCACCATGCAAAGTAGACTGCTGAGGGCTTGCCAGACTGCGCTGCAGCAGTGCAAGGTGTGTAGACTGGTATGCAGTCTACAGACAAGACTGTGTCATGTGTGTGGACTGGGCGGACTGAATGGACTCACATTTAGTAGCGATGGGCTCAAACTTTTCTGGCTCTTCACTGTTAGTCCGTTCAATTAGCAGGTCCTTCACTGGAACGGAACAAAGGCATGTAATTGAAACATCGTAGTAAATCACTGCGCTGCTTGAGGGATGCGTAGTGCGTATATACATATGTGGAGACTGAGCGAAAGAGTCATAGAGAAAGAGAGACAGACTGAGACAGAGAGAGAGAGGGGAGAGAGACAGACAGAGAGGGAGAGAGAAGACTTGCAGAACTCTCACCGTTGTAGGTCTGTATGGAGATCTTGTCGAGGGCGTGTAGACCGGGCAGTTTGAGTACAAACTGCTGCGGGTACAGACCCGTGGTCATCCAAAACGTATCCATGCGGCTACCGGAGGTCAGATGGGGTCACGTCAGTCATGGCCACGGGAAAGAGTACCGTGTAGGCATGTAAAAATATGCCGATATACTTTTGTGAACTGAAATATGTCTTCTTTGGCCCGCAGGAAAGGTGGCATTTATTGCTACAGTTTCATAGCGCCTTTAGTCATCAAACAAACAAACGAACAAACAAACAAATAAACAAACAAATAAACAAACAACAATAAAATGTTTCATTCCTCGTTTTACTCAAATTGTGAGATCAAGCATTTGCGGCTCGCTTGTTGCACCGTTTATTTATGACGGTACAAAAAAATCGACTCAGGAGTCAGGATCAGCGCCGTCTATTTAAAAGTTCCGTCAAAAGTTTGACGTCACTAACCCGTCGACGATGCATTTGGGCGGGTAGCGGGCGTCAAACGACGAAGCCTGCACGATGCTGGTGCCGGAGGCGCTGAGTCCTAGGTCACCCATGACGTCACCAGGTCACTGCCGCAGGCTGGAGAGGTCAAACTCGGGTCACGCGCCATGGCTTACCTATCGCGATGTTTGTTATGACAATGGCTTGTTATGGATGTAGGTAGATTTGTCCGTTATTCAGGCTGAATTTTATTGCAAGCAAAGCTTCTGTCCAGGGAGTTTTTGGCAGTCACCTCTTAGGAAATTTCGTACTTGTGTCGTTTCCGCCTAGCTACTTCTACAAACATAAAGTTTTACTTAGGAAACTTCTCCAAACCCGGAAGACTTCTATATTAAACCGATCCGGACACAGAGAACGTTTGCCAAAGTCAAATAATTACATATGTTCACATCCAACTATAACCGTCCCACTCCCAGTTTACAACTCACCGTCTCCACTGTCTGCCGAGCACGGATCGTGGTGGAGCCGTTAGGCAGGTCGCTCTCGTCACCTGCCCGGAGCGGCGCCACCGTGGCCCCCACACCACGGCTGGAATGTGGGAACTGACCGCCCCTCGGGCTGGACCTCCCCCCCACGCTCCCCCCCCCCTCCTGGCCGTCGATAACGGCGTAACGACGATAAACAGAGGGCGTATCGACCGCCGGACACCAGCGCGGCACCTGGACAGGACGCCCCGGACACTGCACCGGGAACCACACTGGCAGTAACGCTCCGGGGAACCACACTTACGGACACCAGGGCGCCCCGCGCCGGACACGGTATTGGGGAACCATACAGTCTACAGAGGAACCACACTGGCAGTAACGCTCCGGGAAACTACATTGACGGACACCACGGCACGCCTGTATGTACACGGTATTGGAGAACCATACAGTCTACAAAGGAACCACACTGGCAGTAATGCTCCGGGAAACTACATTGACGGACACCACGGCACGCCTGGACACTACGCGCCGGACGCTGCTGGTAACCACACCAACAAAACCGCACTGAGGAACCACACCGGCGCACAGCGTACGAGGGAACCACATGGACATGAACCATTCCGAAGGACACCGCAACACATCTGGACACGGCGCCGGGTACTGTACCGAGGAACCATACGGAGGAACCACACTTGGATTGAACAACATACGGAGGAACCGGAGCGACGGGCACCGCGACATATCTGGACACGGCGCCGGGTACCGCATCGGGGAACCTGACGAAGAAACCACACTTGTGGTGACGCTCTAAGGAACTACATGAGCAACTCCATGGGAACCACACCACACCGAATCACTATTAATATGAGTGTGATCTGAGTGTCGAAAAACAAGATAGAAGTTCCTACTATTTTCGTACTCAAGCACTTGGTTCTATTTTTGTTTATGCTCTCGTGTCGACGATGTTATCATTGTCGGTTTTTGTGGCTAATTAGCAGCCTCATTAGCGTCATTGAAGGCTGCATAACTCTCAATCTACAATGTACAACAGTTTGGAGAGACTCCCGTCGTACAACTTTTTGTGCCGCCTCTCCTAAGAAGGGTTGATGTTATGCAGGTCTCGAATTCGATACACGACGATAGGAGCGACAGCCATTAATATGGCCCGCTGCTGGTTCGTGGCCGTCTCAGGGAGATGAGAGCAGTGACCTACCCAGTCTTATCACGTCACTCGTCAGTCCTGAGCCTGATACTGTACTTTATCGTTGATTTAACGTCTTTGCGCGTGAACCTAAATTCGCTGATAAGTTTTGATGATTTAACACTTGAGAAATGACGTCATTAGTTGAAAATAAGTGTTGCCCTACATGTAACTCTTATGGATAAAAGTATTCAATGTAACTCAAGGAAACCAGGCATCCATATAGTCTTTTTATTGCATATCGTATCACACTTATAATTGCTGCAAGTATAACGCAGACAGATCATAAAACATTGACACGAGTTCAGTTGGCGTAATTCTGTTAAATTAATTCTTTTAAGTACCTACGTGAGGAATAAAAGCTGCCAGCTGGTAAAAAATAGGTACTGTTTGCCGTTAACTTGAATGACACTGTTCAGTGCTGTGCCGGCTCTGCGGCTTGGAATCCTGCTCGGGAATTTATTCACCGTTCCATGACCACTGGTCTAGCTACACATACCTACATTTACGGGCCTTTTGATTACTGTCCCAATCGACCACTAGTCCGGTAATCACTGGCCCAAACGGTCACTGGCCCTGTGATCACTGGTCCAAACGGTCATTGGCCCCACAATCACTGGTCCAAGCGGTCACTGATCCCGTAAGCACTGGTCCGAACAGTCACTGGTCCAGCGGTCATTGGTTCTGTGGCCCAGTCACTGTTGGATAAGACTGAGGATAGGTCGCCTGTCGCCAGTGCAAACCTCCCTCATCCCTGGCGCTCTTTTAAAAGCTCGTTCATCGTCTTCGCTTCCTCTGCCTCTCGTCTGGAAAACAATAAACATCATATAGATTGTCATAGTGATAGGTCAACACATAGGACCACAGTGCACTCTTTCGAAATATCATAACAATGTGTTCGTTGAATTGTAAATTCTTACTACAATATTATTGCATTTTGGAATTCGGTGGTCTATCAAATGTTTCTGTTGCCTGTTGGGCAGGGCGATTTTTGAGTTATTGGACAATGGACTATTGGTCCAAGGCATAGGTACTCGCGGATCTCGCATCCCAAGCCTAGTCTCTGTAATTTTAAGGGATGGCAGCTCGACCCCCGCGGGCAAGCACTTAGTATTGGTGATCAGACCTTTTCCTGTCTGGGACGAGGGCCAATATTTTTGGCTATCTGTGCCCTGGCCTCTAAAGCTGCATCGAAGTCATAGTGTCGTCACCTCACGCTCTCAACAGACTGATACAATTTCTAACATGGGTTTGTTTTCGTGGTTAAACATACTACAGAGTGCAAAATACTTTCGATTTCTGGTTAGTTTTACTTTCAGGTATCTTCGCTGGCCGTGAGCCGAGCTGGTTCATCCAGTCTGGTCCCCTGTCCGTCCCGACACACCCTGTTCCCTGGTCGCTGTGTCCCGTGTGGCGACGCTCGGCTGCTCATTAACGTGTCATAACACTGGCCTAATGGGCCGGCAGCCGGCCACTTAGCCGTGTATCGAGAGATCGGAGATTTATAAAAACCGGATCCGATCGGAGGGGACGGGACAGTGGACACGCTGTACCGTTTGGAGACCTACGAGACGGGTCAGGAGACGAACGAGACGGGACTGGAGACGGGCGAGGCACACATATCCCAACATCTTTTTCAAGTTTCTCAGTGCTTGAGCGAGGAACATATTAAAGCATATTTGAATAATGACCTTATCCTCGTATTTAAAAAGGTTAAATCAAAACACTTTTTATTGCATCACATAAACCGGTACGATGTACCTTAGGCCCCGTCATATTTTATAAAGTTTTTGGAAGACCAGCTCCCCTGATGTTTTCCCATTGCTTGTTGGCCCAATAAGAAGTGTGCAAAATTTCAGCTTCCTAGCTCAACGTTTGCGTCTGCCTCAACGGCCTCGAAGTTTGCCTCATAGGGCATAATGGAGACTGCAATGCCGGTGTTAGCTGCATTCTCCCGGCAGCGGCGTTCCTTGGCACAATATCGCCACGGATCAACTGCTGCCCCAGCAAGAGATGAACAAAACTAATCTTTGCCTTCGCCCCCCCCCCCGCCACACACCCCTCCCCCTCCTTACCCCCCCCCCCCCTCCCCGCCCCGATTTTTTGTGCATCGTTTGATTTTCACGAATTGTTCACGATCACTTCCTGTTTTTTTTTTTCAGAATGCCTAAATGCTGATTGAGACAAATATCACGTCGGTTTAAGATAGTACCTATTTTAAACATGCATGTATTGTACCTATCCTAAACATGCATGTGCATATATTAATATCGAATTCGACTCAATACTGCGGCGACGGCAAACTGATAACTACGAACGACAGCAGCAGCCAGAGACCAAGACGGCGGGCACGGCACTGGTGACGGTGACGGGCACCGGTGTCACTTACTATGGTCGAGTCTGCGTGTCCGGTGTCGTGGCCTACCTACAGCACGAAGGTTTTCTTACGGGGCTGTTTGAAAAACTCCTGCAGTGCGGTCTAGGAGTGAACTCCGCACTATTCAAAACTCAAGTCATTTCTTCTTTCCATGCAACGACATAATATGAGGGCGCCTTTAGCGTCCAAAGGAGGGGGGGGGGGGAATTTAAAGGTACAGGACAATGGGCTTGACCTGAATGCCCGCGAATGCTGGATACGGCTCTGCTCTGGAGGGTGAGGGGCGTCATGTTTTTTTTTCAATGGGACGCCCAATCACCTGTGATCTTCAAAGGGGCGCCTGTTACGCTTTGAAGATGCGTCCGTGGTGTTGACAAGTGTGCCGAGCGCCCTGATAACGTTATATGTAAGGCGCGCTTTAGCACTACCAATACCCACGACCCGTGCACCTGCGCCCAACACAAACCTCTGACGCAAGCAACATGATAGTGGATTGCATACTTGACATAAATCCCTGTGGTGCCCTTTCAGATCCCGACATCACCCCTGTCAGTATTATGTGCGCACCATTCAGAGTATATGACGTGCCCCTTCCGAAAAAAAAATGTTGCCCCCTCTTGATCACTCGGTACGCCATTCAACACCACCGACGTGTCTCTAAAACGTGATCAGGCGACCCATTGAAGATCACGGGTGAGTGGGCGCCCCATTCATTATCGCTGGCGTCCCTCTCAGAGTATCCGGCGCACCATTAAATATCACTGACGCCCCTCCAGAACATCCGGCGCCCCCATTTAATATTACTGTCACCCCTCAGAAACATCCGGCGCCCCTTTGAACGATGACGCCCATCCCGGGGCGCAAGGCGCTCGGCACACTTGTCAACACCACGGACGCATCTGCAAAGCGTAACAGGCGCCCCTTTGAAGATCACAGGCGATTGGGCGTCCCATTGAAAAAACATGACGCCCCTCACCCTCCAGAACAGAACCGTATCCAGCATTCGCGGGCATTCAGGTCAAGCCCATTGTCCTGTACCTTTAAATCCCCCCCCCCCCTTGGACGCTAAAGGCGCCCTCATATTATGTCGTTGCATGGAAAGAAGAAATGACGAGTTTTGAATAGTGCGGAGTTCACTCCTAGACCGCACTGCAGGAGTTTTTCAAACAGCCCCGTAAGAAAGCCTTCGTGCTGTAGGTAGGCCACGACACCGGACACGCAGACTCGACCATAGTAAGTGACACCGGTGCCCGTCACCGTCACCAGTGCCGTGCCCGCCGTCTTGCTCTCTGGCTGCTGCTGTCGTTCGTAGTTATCAGTTTGCCGTCGCCGCAGTATTGAGTCGATATTAATATATGCACATGCATGTTTAAGATAGGTACATGCATGTTTAAGATAGGTACTATCTTAAACCGTCGTGATATTTGTCTCAATCAGCATTTAGGCATTCTGAAAAAAAAAACAGAAAGTCATCGTGAACAATGCGTGAAAGTCAAACGATGCACAAAAAATCGGGGCGGGGGGGGGGGGGGGGTAAGGAGGGGGAGGGGTGTGTGTGTGGGGGGGGGGCAAAGGCAAAGCTTAGTTTTGTTCATCTCTTGCTGGGGCAGCAGTTGATCCGTGGCGATAGTGTGCCAAGGAACGCCACTGCCGGGAGAATGCACCTAACACCGGCATTGCAGTCTCCATTATGCCCTATGAGGCAAACTTTGAGGCCGTTAAGGCAGACGCAAACGTTGAGCTAGGAAGCTGAAATTTTGCACACTTCTTATTGGGCCAATAAGCAATGGGAAAACACCAGGGGAGCTGGTCTTCCAAAAACTTTATAAAATATGACGGGGCCTAATGTACCTATGTCCGTAGCATGGCATTTTTGACTTGATATTCTGATGAAGAGCTGTGCTCGAAATTATTAATAAAAAGTGTTTTGATTTAACATTTTTAAATACGAGGATCTAAGGTCATTTTTCAAATAAACATCCCAACATCTTGTTGCTCCACTGGTCAAATGCATTGACGAATATGAGTACATCACGGAACAGCTAAAAAACAAACGCTTAATTTGAAGCGTCTCCTATATATAAAGACGTGACACGGGGCAGGAAACAGTAGGCTTGGTAGGAAAAGAACGAGACGGGACAAAAAGAAAAGAAAATAAGATGCGTCATGAGACCAAGACGATGTGGCAGGAGGCAGTGGACGTGCAGCTATGAAACAAATGAGACGCAGCAAAGAGACAAACAGGCGGGACGAGAGACGGACGGGACGCAGCCGCGGCAAGCGACAAAGGCGATTCCAAACTTGAGGACTAGGATTGCGACCCACCGAGTGATGGGAGTAGTCAGTGCTTCTGCTTTCTACCTAAATATGAAGCAGCTATGCTCCTTACCTCCACTTTGTTCGTCGATTTTGAAACCAAGTCTTCACTTGAAGCTCGGTCAGTTTCAGTTGACCTGCGATAGCCTTTCGCTGGTCGTCATCTAAGAACTTCTTTTTTGAAAATACTTCTTCGAGCTCACGTACCTGCAATAAAAAACAACAGTAAATATTAGGAACTTAGTTCATTAAATGGATAAGTTTGTTAGTTAAATGACGCACATTTGTATTAGCTGTGCCCAAATCATGCATATGAAAATTAAAGCATTACTTAGGTGCAAAACAATGCATACAAGTATACCGAATTATGCATGACAAGTAGCCGGATTGCAGAGCCAATATCAACAAGCTCTCTCTTATCATGCTTTGCCAGAAAATTAGGCCCATCATTTATAACACATGCTTGCAAAGCCGCGAAGCCAGTGCAATACAATCGGATTGTCATGTTGTGGCCAAAGCGTGCACAGTGCACACTTCACGTCCTTGAAACTTTAACAAAAAAAAATGGCTCAATGGTATGCAATGTAGCTCAACACATGCATTTCAGAAGTACGGGTCCCGATGCAGCTCGCTCGTGACAAGGCTCATTTGGCGACACGGTGCAGTGGTGCCGGGTGTGATGCTGTGCACGTTGTAAGAGCGTATTTCGCCCGTCTTAGTAAAACTGTGGTGCTGAGTCGTTGGTAAGTAAAGAAGAGCGTCTCTCGCTTGTGGTGAGAAGGTGCGCTGCTGTAAGTGTGAAATGCAGTGCACGTTATAAGAGAGCTTTCGTCCGCTCAGTAAGACGCTGGCTCTCAGTCGTGAGAAAGTAAGTGCAATAAGGTCGTCTCTCGCCTGTCGCTGTGAGAAGGCGGCCCGGGGCCGAGTCTGTCCAGTGTGAACCCTGCCCAGGTACGGGTGACCGGTGCGTCTCTGAGGTCGAACTGGCGCCACCGGGGCTGCTGGAATTACACAGGTCTCGCTGCCATGAGAATCGGTTTTCGGGACGGTTCCGTTGCACGGGTGAAATTGAGGTAAGATGCTTGCATAATTTTGTCATTCAGATTCAATGAAAGTCGTGATAAAATGTGCTGCTTTAATTGATCATTACTTATAACTATTTATTCATGCCTATTGGCAAATTCCAGGAATAAGGAGTAAAACTATTCCAGAGAAGTAAAATTTTGAATGACTTCAGCCTCGGGCTGGTAAAATGGTGTCGACTCTCACCCCAGGCAGCGCACCGATTCCGGCGGTTCCAGCCGCAAAAAGAAAAGTTGCCACAAATCATGTTACCCAATCCATGGGCCAGGTTTAGTACACCTTTTTGCGTTAGCTTTTGACCATTGAGCAAAACATTTGTACACATTCGCCATAAAGGTGGCGCTATAAATGGGCGGTTGGTCACAAAGAATCACCATTGTGCAAAACTATTCGGCGATCTTCCTCTACAACTCGACATTGAACGAATGGTTCAACATTGTGCAAAACAAATCGTCAATGGTTGAAACTATTCGTCATATGCCGAGCTGGCTCCCTCTATGCCGAAGTCTGGCGAACTGTTAAACTGTTTTGCAGATCGCTCATTTCAGTGCTCAATCTGTTTTGCTGAATGGCTGAAATGAAACGCACCACGCCGGAATAGTTGTGAGCAATGCCGATTGTCGAAATGGCTCCTCAAACAGTTATGGCCAATGGTTGAATTCAAATGCAAAAAGGTGTAGTAACATTTCGCCATTAAATGAGTTTTATTACTCCAATAAAAGAAAAAATGTTGGGCTGAGAAGTGAGAGGCGAATGGGCGTGCCACAAACGACCTACATGGCGAATAACCTATTCTTAAGTTCCTAACCGTTTTGCGTTCACGGCTCAGTTTCATTGATGGCTCATTTTTTCCTCTTTGCTAGTATTGGATACAGCTTGTCAATTTGGATCACAACCCGAGGGCGGGAACGCATCACATCACATACCTACCTACAATCTATTTAAGACGTTTGTCCTAATAACGAAAAAAATCATGACTCTTGATTCATACATTGGCCTAATTCCTGTAAAATAACTTAGCATTCCTTGTGCAACATTGCACGATCTTCTGAATTAAGGTAGGTATTATAGCTCTACCTTTTGCCGGGCAAAAAAGGACAAATCATAGACGTTTAATTTGGTCAATGAATATAACATGGTCAGCGATATGCAAATGGAAGCATTTGCATTTATCTGCCATTATGTTTTCACTTCTTCCCTTTTGGGAGCTTGAAAAGGTTCAGAAGTCGGCGCATGCAATCTAAACTATTCATTACTGCACCTACCTCTTCCAATCATCGAGGAGTCAGTAGCGCCATTTGGCCAACCATTCAGCATTTTTCCATTTTCCATGGACCGAGTTGATGCGACGACGGGAACAAAGGCTGACTTATGGCTGCAACCTGAATACAAACTGAACTGAGACGAGGCTTTGTCTGGGTGCATTGATGACAGATATAACGACCTTGTCGCTGAGGATGAAATCGTGGATAGTCGATTCGGTGATGATAACGCCGCCGATGACGCATCGTCTGATGACGGGATGGCCGATGACAGCCACGTCGATGACGGCTGGACCGATGACTGATTCCGTCTCGCTGCGCCAGTAGGATGTCCGTCTCGTCGCATGTCGCTGTGATCCGCCGCTGCCGCTGTCTGTCCCTCGCCGCTGTTGTCCCGTAGAAGCCGAGCCACACCAAACGAGAGATGCGAGGTGTCTGGGGTGGCGCCCGGCCTGGCCCGCCTACACTCGGAAAACATCGCCGGTCACTGACACGGAGATCACTGTCACGTCGCCGTGGTGTCACTGACACAATCACTGACACGATAAACTCCAATTATTGGAGAAGAGTTTCGTCACAACGCTAACGCGCTGTGGGAAACAAGGCCTTTTATCGGGACCGATGATTTGGCAGTGCACGTGACACTTTCAGACGAAGAAAGTCCCCATACCGCTATAAGTTCCACATAATGATGAAATAGTTTGAAGCACTGTTGCCGGTCGGAAAAGACTATTTTCTAACTGGTTACCGATAGACGCGCATCGGATGGTCTCGCTCGCTATCCCGGCTATCCCAGGCCAGCCCTCAAAACGGTGACGCCGTGTTACTGGAACCGGTTGTTCCTCATTCTGATTGGCCGCCGGCGGCGGCTGCCATTCGAGACCGTGACGCGTCGACCAATAAGGAAGCTAGTATATTGCAGAGGCCACGCCCATCGAGGATTATCCGACAGATTTAGCGATCAAACCGGATGTGCTGCGGTGTGGTGTGGTGCTCTTTTCATGGCACAAGCACACGGCTGTGATGTTTTGTGACGCTTTTTACGGTGTTGACGAAATTCAACATTAAATGCCCTAAAAGTTTTAGTTCCCTGTTGTCCTTATTCGTGAGACGAAACTGTGTTTAAGTCTCACTGGGCAATGTCTTCAGTACGATCTCAACTTCTCCGTCGTGTGTATCATACACAGTCCCGACTTCCCAGCGGTCCCGACAGACCCGACTCCCGACTTTTGCGAGTCGAGCGGACACGGCTTTTGCGAGTCGAGCGGTCCCGACTTTCCCGATCTCCCTGTTCAAGTGACCAAACGATTTCTTCGACTTAACAAAATAATGCCTAGTGGTGAACAGAATTCATGCAGAGAACAAACGACTGCATAATGGTGAGTTCCGTGCACGTCAACGTGTTACCTAATAGCCAGTGGACGGGGAGCAGAAGCCATATTCAACACTCGACAGATGCAGGATGTCCGTGTGAGAGATGGAACCGGATTGGTTCTTCGAGCCTCGAGGGTGAGTCATACTCGTATGCATGCCAAAGTCGACTGCACATTTTTTATTTTTACTTTCAGTCTTTCATGTAATTTTCGGAAAACGCCAGACCAGGGAACTACATCTATTCACCCTGGCCAGGAAAGGTTCTTAGAAAGATATACAGGTCCCCTGCCCCCAATAGGTAGGCAGGGGAGGGGGGACCGGGGCAAAGCGGCCACACGGAGCAAAGTGGCCACTGCCTTTTTTAGCCCTACACAACTTGCGTCAGCTTCAGTTATTGGTTGCCATTTATAGTTCTCTTTACGGTCGTTCGAATGAGCCATGACAACGTGGTTTTCGGTCCATCGCCATTGTTCCATGACACAAGGAACTGCATTTCTTCCCAGGGCCAAATCTTATAAAGGGCGTGAAATGGATATGGCAGAGCTCTCTAAGGGTCGATTTCTTAGCCCGCGCCCCGCTAGGGCGGGGGGGGGGGGCAGAATCTGCCCCCTCACGTTTTTCCCCAATAACTTCTAAATGCGTTACGCCAGCGACGTCAAACTTTCAGTACCTTATCATGTATTAAACACGTTCCCTGAAAAAAAAAATTGAGCGAAATCGGTCGGAAATTTTTTTGAGTAAATGACGTTTAAGTGACGTCAGGTCCGCCATTTTCGCCTAAAAAAAAACGGCAAAATTTCAAACGCCGCTAACATCTTCATTTTTAAAGGAATCAAGACGTAACAAAAAGGTTATACGTGATTCCACTTTGTCTATCAAATGGTAATCTCGTTTTTTTTAACTTTTGGATTTTGGCCCATTTTTCATAAAACTAACTTTTTTCGAAAAATAATTATAAAATCCAAAGTTTTGAGTGTATCGAAAAACCGGATGATATGTAAGAGAAGTGGTCTATGTGCACCTACATAACAATTTTTAGAAGAATCGGCTGAAAAATGTGGGAGTTATTCAAAATTTTATGACGTCACGACACACACATTTTTTGAAAAAAAAATTGTTTTTTTAAGTTCTAGACCTCGTACGGAAACAAAAATAGCTCCATTCGATTCACCGTGAGAAACTGCATCAGATAGACACCTTTTTAGGTCTTAACAACCAACTTCAAAATTTGACCTCACTTGACCTGACCTTGACCTGACCTCGACCTGAAATTCATCCAGATGTGGTCTATATCACTTATTGAATGTGCCTATTGAATTCTATGAATTAAGTGACCCATAAAACATGTGTCGCACATGCCCTTTTCTATATTTCGTTTTTCGTGACCTGACCTGACCTTGACCTTGACCTTTTCATGACATTGTATGCAACGAATATTGTCTTGGTACTGGTAGCCTAAGAACACGTTTTGGGCAATCAGTCTCAGTCCATTCTTCGGCAACTACGGTGCAAGGCCGATACTGTAGAAACTTGCACTTTGTACCCTTGAGTCTTGACCTGACCTTGACCTGACCTCTGACCTACTGAAGCAAAAGTAATGGCTCTTAAAATCCGCCTTGTTGAGAGCTTTCGATTGCCGTTTTCCCCGTCTTAATACGACGGGGAAACCGACCATCGGTTCGGAAGTTAGACAGGGGGGGGGGAAGAATCTGCCCCCCCCCCAGCAGGGCGTGTATGGCTGAATAGCCCAGCGGGGCGCGGGTTAATTTACTTACAACTTACTATAACTTTTTTACCTTCGGAGGGCACAAACGAAACTACTTTTTAATTCTACGGCCGAATTGGACCATAAAACACGTATTACCTATATGACATAAATTAATAATTATACAAGCCTTAAAACTTCATTAAGTTTTGAATTTTGTGACATAGCGTGGCCTCAAGATTACTTTACATACTAATAGCGTGGCCTAGGTCTGCCCTATAACTGACCAAGTAGGTACAGGCTCCGTAGCCTTAGGGTAGTTCAGCATGCACTTATGAGTGTGTAAAAAAATAAGCGAGCTCGTTGTAACTTGTTTAGCGGCAGTCAGAGCCCGAGGTGTTGGCACTTAGCATGCCAAAACGTAGATAATTTTTACATGGACCTGACCTGTGGCGTTATCAGTGACGAAGTAAAATTTCACATGCTATCCTGATAGTTTATGTGTGAGGTTTTAAATGCCGTTTCAATTTTGACAATTGGTCGGAAGCTTTCCCAAACGTTAGGTAAGGGCCCGAAATGCGCCTCCCCCCTTTACGGCTGGCAGTCTCCGGGAACTCCGAACACCCCTATACGGCACGCGGCTAACTTGGGTGGTGCTGACAGCGAGGGGGCTGGTCTGTGTCACTGGCCACAAATTCCAGTCGCATCAACACTAACAGGCGCGTCACGCGCCCTCAAAGGACAGCACCCCCGATGGATGAGGCAGTCTACCCTCAAGCGCCGTCCGAGGTGCTGAGTAGGAGAAGAACTCGTCGCGAGCTGCAACGCAGACGGCCGCGAGACCGAGAGCTAAACGGAAGATGGGACTGTCTCCCCTCCTAGTGATAATTGCCTCAACACTCGGTGAGTCTTTTAGTACTTGGTAGGGTCTCAATCTCATACGATTATGCGTGGTCTGACGCCAATAGGACAATTCTGCTTCCAAACAGCTGATATCACAGACTGGCGAAGATAAGCAAATCATAGATACCTACCGAGACCGTGCTTCGTGCATCTCTCAGGCAGTGACTTTGACGTGTCACAGCAACGACAGCCGATGTGGAGTCGATGTGCATGACCCCGTGACACAGCACTGATCACGGCCCCGTGACATACCTAGCAGTGACCCTGATTGACCCTTTGACACAGCAAAGACCGTGCCCCCGTGCCATAATAGTGATCTGACACGTGAGATACCTATCAGTGGCCGTAGCCCCGTGAGCCAACAGTGATCATAACCCGTGACATATCAGTGACATAATAAACCTCGTGACCCTATCAGTGACCGTGACCTGACACATCAGTGGTCGTGACAAAGTGGCACGACAGTAACCGCGACCCCGTGACATAACATTAGGTCGCACACATTGGGGGATCCCGCAGCGCCCGAAATCGATGCAAAATTTGGTTTTGTTTTCGAGAATGAAACGAAAACTAAACAACTTGTATTAGGAAAAGTTTTTTTTCTTAAAACCTAAGCCAATCTAACCTAACCTAACCTAACCTAACCTAGCCTAACCTAACCTAGCCTAGCTTAATCAAAGTGCACAGCGGGGCGGGGCGTAAGGAATCGAAACCCGATGATATTTTTTTTATTTACAGATACCATAGGTACAATTTGTTGGGGGTGTGCCCCCGTGGTGTTCAAGACCGCCTTTCTGGATTCGCCAGCGGTCGCACCGGGTGAAAATTTAACAGTGCGCAGTAATTCCTATTGTGACCTATTTGGCCACTTTTCCTCTCTAGTTGTCCCTGTTTTAGAGCTCAACCGCAATCAGCTGTGAACCTCGACATCATTGACGTTGACCTCGAAAAGCTTAACGCAACATACGCGCAAGATCTGTCGCACTTTCAAGATACCAAACTATTGCTTTCAAATAGACGTAAAGAAAACCTTTATGACGTCAACGAACAGCGGAGGCCCTTAAATATAAACAAAAAACAATGTCTAGCATCTCAAAAGCCGGTGAATATTTTTTGGTGAAATTTGGTACGGATACTCATTTTCGCTCTTTCTAAACCACGGTACATCACTTTTGTGCGAATTCAATAATCTTTTTGAAGTTGGGAGGGTCCCTTTAACTGTTGACATCGTGACCCATCAGTGACTAGTGACCCGTGACCCTGTGCCGCAGGCGGGGCGTGGGCTGGTGCCTGTGGCGAGCAGCAACACGGCCGACTTCCGCCTCTTCTGGTCACCACTGCCGCGACGCCCACTGTTTACGCCTGGCCTGAGCAGAAGGTCGAGCTCCACTGCCGGCCGTCCCAGGCCGGCGGCTGTCGGTGGCTGAAGGACTCCAGAGAGCTGGGCACCGAGTGTCGTCTGATCACTACTGAGCGGGGCACGATACGCTGTGTTCGCGGAGAGGAGACGTGCGGCGTCATCACACTTGAGAACCCGAATCATCAGCGAGTCGAAAGCGACCAATTAATCGATTACAATACCAATTACGATTACGAGTACGGAAGCAGTATTTCCTTTTACGATGGCTACATCAAACGATATTGGAACTACAACGGCGAAACTCGATGGAGCCATAAGTCCTCGATGTACTTATGCTCCCGGTCAGGCACCATCATTCTCAAAAGCAAGGTGTGTGATGGTACCAGACACTGCGGCGCGGGGGAAGACGAATGGCACTGCTCGCCGCCCTGCGGACCGCCATATGTGAGCGAGAACACCAAGCTCTCCGATCCAAAGGAGGAGTACCCGGACGGCAGCGACGCCACCTACGTCTGCGAGAGCGGCTTCAGTATGGCCGAGTCTCTGAGCGGGCTACGGAGGACGTGCCGCGCCGGCCGGTGGGACGGGGCCGCGCCCGTCTGCCGGCGCAATGTCGCCCTGGGACAGCCCATCACCGTCACTGGTTTGCCGATGGCAGACTGCAAAGTCGCTGTGGATGGCTCGCTAGACACCTGGTGCATGCTGGCACCCAGCAACGGCCCCAAGGTCCTGGCTGTCCGCCTGGAGGCCAACGCGACTGTAGATAGGGTACTGGTGCGCGCGCTGGGTACACGCTACACCGTGGCGTTGCGGCCGATGAACCAGACCAAGAACGAGGTCAACTGTCCGTGTCAGGAGCTGAGTAGCGACAAAATAACGCCTACAGTATCTGGAGTGAGAGTCTGCGTCTGTCCAGAGCAAGCATCGACCGTCGGGCAGCTCGAGGTGCGGGTGTCGGCCGAGACAGGCGCCTTCCTGGCACTCTCAGTGGCAGACGTCGTGGCACTAGAGAGGTCCGACGATGGTGAAGGGGACGAATGCATACTCCTTGGTCAACCAGCGCACGGACGGTACGAGCCGGCACAGACGGGCACTGTCAAACTCTCGTGCGACCCAGGCTACAGCCCGTCCTGTTCCGACGCTGTCCGGTGCTCCGACCTACAGAGCGGTACCACCCGCCTGAGCTGCTCGGCCGCAGAATGTCCTTCCCCGCCCGCCATCCCCAACACCAAGACCGGCCCGAAGAACGGCACCGGCTGGCGCTCTGTGGTCGAGTACAGCTGCGCCGCCGGCTACGCCCTGTACCCGTCGGAACAGAACACTACATCGACATGCGACTCGGACAGCCTATGGTCACTCGGACACATCTCCTGTGTCTTGGAGACCGACATCCGCGTGATTGCCATGCGGCTGGGCGAGCAGCACGAGCGCAGCATGGCCACGCTGCGTGCGGAGCTGGAGACCCCGCTGATGAACCTGTTAGCTGACCAGAATAGCACCGAGCAGCGGCTGAGCAAGCTGGAGCTCAGCATGGCCGCACAGCGCGCTGAGCTTCAAAACCTGCTGGCGGGCCAGCGCCAGCTGCTGGCTGACCAGAACAGCGCCCAGCAGCGGTTGATCAAGCTGGAGCGCGAGGTGGCGCATCTGAGACTGGCCGAGGGAGCGTACCTGCCCGCTCAGGAGAGAGATCCGACGGAGGACGCCACCGAGCCCGCGCCCGAGGAGGAGGGTGTGACACAGACTTCAGAGACAGCCCCAGACCGCGCTGTGGTCACCAGTCCTGAGCAGCAGCCGGCCGGCGCCGCGGACTCCGAGGAGCTGGAAGAGGGGACAGCTGAGACCACCCCGCCGTCAGACGTGGAGCTGATCCCTCGGATCTACTGATCCATCCCCAGACACTCACATCCTTTTCTGAGCTGCGCACTGTACCGCGCTGGACGGTCACCAAATCCGGCCTGAGAAGTGATAGACGGCTTTGCCAGTTGCAGTGGACAGTGGTTTATGTGCGAGAACTAAAACACCGCCGTCCACTAGTCGCCTGCCACGCACGGGACGGAGGTAACCCTATAGGTACTGGTGCTTTTCCTGAACCTTCATCGAGAGTATTAGGATACAATTGTGAGCTTGTATCGTGCCCAGATGCGTCTCAGAGACAGCTCATAGGAGGCATGGTTTCGCGAAGCATCACTTCGCAGACATTAGCCGCTTCGCCAGTTATTTTGTTTGCCTCGGCGGCAAATATGTATCAAACGTCGCAATTGTAATCTGTGACGTGTATGACGTCACTTTGTTGTGAAATTAAAATGGGCAGGTGTATGTAGGTGAACTGAGGACTACAGACCAGGCTACATACATAGGTAGTCCGAGCCGGGCCGCTTATTCTGAAACTTCCTATTACACTCGTATTGGAAAGACTTCGGCTCGTACATGTTTACGAATATAAAAAGTGGTTGAAATCCGAGGACAAAATGGGTTTTGGCCTCAAGTTGGCGGCGATGCCTCTGGGAGCTTCCCCCCACACTTGCAAAAACCTTCCTACACCTACACCACGTATGTCGTCTCTCCAGCCTCTCATCTCCCTCTCTGTCTGTCTGTACCCACCAGGGGCGTAGCCAGGATTTCCTCCAGGGGGGGGGGGAGGGGGAGCAAATTTACCGGGGCCCAAGGTAAACCCCTCAAAATCCCAAAAGTCATCGGATTTTATCCACTGTTTTTTGGAGGGGGCCCAAACAAATTTTAAAAATATTTTCAATAGAAAATGAACAAAAATGTTAGAACTGAGGGGGCAAGCGGTCCATGGGCCCATTCTAGATAGGCCCACGAATAGCTTCATAGAGTTGCTCACCCGGTTCTGAAGGAGGTCTGAGGGCCCCGTAGCTACGGGAGACCTACGCGTAGGTCGGATGAGGGTCCTTCAGACCGTAAACGGCCCCCACAGCCCAATTAGAGCCTCCTAAGCCGTCTGAGGGTCATGTAAGCCGTCTAAGGGTTACTCAGACCGACAAAAGGCCCCCTTTCACTTGCAGAGGGCCCTGTTCGGACCGACGGAGGGCCCTCTCAGACAAACTAAGGGCCCGTTCAGGTCATTTGAGGGCCTCCTCAAACCGAAAGGGGCCCCTCAGATCGACAGTGAAATGTGGATCCGATCTGAGAACCCTCAAACCGACATATGGGTCGGACCAACAGTCGGAAACCAACAGATCAACAGTGAACAGAGGGCCCCTCAGGTGAACAGAGGGCTCTCTCAGGTCGATTGAGGGCCCCATAGATCGGTAGGGGCCCTCAGACCAGCGGAGGGCCTCTCGCATGTCGGGAGAGGGCCCCTGAGACTGACAGAGTCATGTCGATGGAGGACCTCCTCGGGTGGGAAAAGCCCCTCCAGTTGATAGAGGCCCCCTCGGACGAACAAAGGGCCCCTCAGGACGATCGGGAGCCCCTCAGACCGACAGAAGGCCCTATCGGTCCAAAAGGGGCCCCTCGTGCAAAGAGCGGTTTATTTAGACTAACAGAGGGCCCTTCAGATGTTCAACAATAAAATGTGCATCTTATTTACACCTTGATTTTGTGTACACACCGTTGGACCCATCCCATCCACCTGGGCCCCCAGCCCCCAGGCTTCAAAAGGGCCCCATGGCTCTAAAATTGGGGCTCACTTGGCCAAATTGTGGCTACGCAGCTGCGTCAAAGGATCTGTGGCAAGGGCTTTTGCGTCGTCAAGGGCTCGCTGTGTCAGCCAGGGGCCCCTATGGAATAGGGGCCCTTGGCCTCCGGGAGGGTCATGGTCCCTTTGGCTCCCTCCTTGGGCCTTGGCTACGCCACTGCATAGAAATGCATCTATTAGTCATAGGCGGCGGAACGATTTGAGACAAGGGGGGGGGGGGCACCATGGCTCAAGGAGCCAAACCTAGGGTACCCCCAAATCCTGTTTTCTCATCGGATTTAGGCCACTTATTTTTCGTCACAGCCCTGACACGATGATTGTTTTTGTTTTTTATTTTTATTTTTTTTTTACTAAACGAAAATGGCAGTTCACCCCCGTATGCAGGGGCGTAATTTTATATCTCTTTGTGGGGGCATATGCACCCACAATCCTGAATTATGCCCCCACAATGATGAAAATGCACCCACAAGTCTTTTACAAGACAAGGCTGCAAGCGTCCTTTCGAGAGCACGGTGCCCCTCGCATGCTCTAACGGCGTCCTCCTGACCGTCTCGCGTTCATGGATAATATAGCGTTTTAAATCACTCGGCGCACTTCTGGGAGAATGGCGCACTTTTGACAGCACCGCGCCATTCTCATGGTCTAACGGCGCCCTCCTGACCGTCTCGCGTCCTTAGGTCTCTTCACCGTGCATCCCTCGACTGTTCGGCGCCCTTCTGGCCTCTCAGCGCCCCTGAACCACATAAAGCGTTTTCAATCACTCGGCACCCTTTTACGAGAATGGTGCCCTTTTCATGATCTTAAGGCGCTCTCGTAACCATCTGACGCCCCCACGTCCCCACCAACGTAGCACTACTGACTGTGCGGCGCCCTTCTGGCCTCTTAGCGCCCCTGGACCACATAGTGTTTTCAATCACTCGGCGTCCTCCTAAGAGAATGGCGCCCTTTTCATCGTCTCACGGCGCCCTCGTAAGTCGTAACCGTCTGGCGCCTCCACATTTGGTGCCCCTCCTACTGGATGGCGCCTCTCTACATCTTTTTTACGTCCTTCCGGTCAGTTTCCACTTTTAAGCGTGTATTTGCTTAGTCAGACACGTCACTTGAAGCGCCATTCGGCTAGCAATGTTATCAAATTCGGTGTTAATTTAGGCTCCCACATAAAGTTAAGAATATCTATCGCGCCCCAAAACGGCCTGGCGCCGGGCGCCCCTACAGCTGGGCACCCACAATCATTTTAGGAAAATTACACCCCTGCCCTGCCCGTATGTGTGGTTAACTTTAAGCTAATCCTCAAGTACCTATGTGTTTGTCTCTTCCTTATTGTCGTTTGATAAATTCCATTTACCCTACATTAATTCCATTTATCCCAAGAAGCCATCGCAGTACTAATCAGTGGCGAATCCCAGGGTGGAGGTCACATGGGTCATGACTTAGGGACTGGGGTCACCACATGCCTGCCAGGAGCACCACAGGCCTGACAGCCGACAGGGGCACCACAGGCCCGCCAGGGGTGCCACAGGCCTAGCAGGGGCACCACGGGCCTGTCAGTGGCACCACAGGCCTGTCAGGAGCACCATCGGCCTAGCAAAAGCACTACAGGTCTTCCAGGGGCACCACAGACCTGCCAGGGGCACCAGAGGCCTGCCAGGTGCACTATCGGCTTCGCAGGGGAACCACCGGCCTCGCAAGGGCACCATGGGGCCTTCAAGATGCGGCCTTCATCCCTGAAACTACCAGATCCTGGAATTCCCTCCCCGAACATATCCGTCAGATCCGATCACGCTCTAAGTTTTCCAATGAAGTAAGACAGCACTTCTGTCCCCAGCCCAACCCTTTCTTCTCCTCAGGATCCAAGCTAGGCAACACTCTCCACACTAGACTTCGTTTGCACATGTCCACCCTAAAAGCACACCTCTTCACAGTTTTATCTAAGGACACCCAAGATGCGGCCTGTCAGTGCGGTCATCCTTGGGAGGACTCACGTCACTTTATGCTGCACTGCCCTCTTTACGCTGACGAACGGACGCTTCTTTTTAACTCTGTCTCCACTGTATTCCACGACTTTGACGCTTTTTCTTTTAGAAGACAACTCGAAATTCTCCTAGAGGGTCAAGGTATTGACGGCGGCGGCGGCGGGGAGCTGGTCAGGGCCATTCAAAATTATATCATTGGCACTGGTAGGTTCATATAAAAAGCACGCTTTTCGAAGTAATTTCTCTAAGCATAAAATAGGCGGACTGGCGACGGGCGGCTCTGCTTCTGGTCTGCTGGCTGGGCGGTCGGGGGCGGTGGTCGTGCCTCCTACCTTGTAGGGAACTGGGAGAGGTGCTTAGAGATAAGCGCTTGTCGCTTCTGCACCAATCCGTGTAAATGTATGACTGTGAAAATGCTTCTATAAATAAAATATGAATCAATCAATCAATCAATCAATCAATCAATCAATCAATGGGCCTGTCAAGGGCACCACAAGCCTGTCGTTGGCAATTTAGGATTGTCAGAGGCACCACAAACCTGTCAAGGGCACCTGCGTTCTAACAGGGGCACCACAAACCTGCCAAGGCCCAGGGACACCACAGGCCTAAGTCCTAACAAGGACACCGTAGGCCTGTCAGGGGCACCACGGGCCTGTCAGGGCCAATGGGCACCTAAGTCATGTCAGAGCCCACCGAAGGCTTGTCAGGGGGCAGGGTAGGTAGGTACCACAGTCTTTCCAGGGGCACCAGCGGCCTAGCAGGGGCACCAGTCATCACATGACTAACCAAAAATAAAGACAATAAAAAAACTGAAAATAGGGCACCACCAAAATTAAGTGGCCGAAATCCGTTGAGGTTTTAATTTTGGGCATAGGTAGGGGCACCACGTCGATTCATGACCCTCCCCTTGGAGTTTTCCCGAACCCGCCCCTGGTACTAATACATCAAATCTAAGGGGGGCACCTTGCTATTGGTGCCCCCTTGCAGAATTCAAGGGGGCACGGTGCCCCGGTGCCCCCCGTTCCGCCGCCTATGCTATTAGTTGGTAATAACGTTTTAATTTTGTACCACCTCATATTTTGTTTTGTCATATTTCATTCCACTTACGCTACCTTTATTACGCCCTCTACCGTACTTTTGACATATTCAGGGTAACTTTTAAAGGGGGGAAAAGGGGAATTTCCCCCTTCAAAAATTCAGCTACCCCTTTCAAATTGTGCGTGAACGCCGAACGGCTAGGAAGAGAAGGGGGAATTTCCCCCTATCAAATTTATTCTTGAGCCCATTTTCAATCAATTCGCTACTCAGATACTATAGGGCATGGCCATATTGCGCCACGTTAAGCGAAACTGGTTTCAGCTTGGAATACAAAGACAGCACAGGTTAGTTGTTTTCACATTATTATTTAGAAACCTTTTTCCTACCTTTTTTTAGAAATTTAGACACTAATTTATCGCATACTTCAACTAATTAGCCAGACACGGTCTTTTTAGAAAGTGTTGCAAAGGGCACAATAGTCGAAAACCTTCGATAGGTAAATGCGCCTACAGCATGGCGCAATTGAATTCAAATGCGCCCACCGCAAATATGTACATGCGTTAGCTATGGGCTGTACAGATAAGAGTCTCGTCTTTTCCGTCTCTTCGCAATCACTGACATATCGCTACAGGCGTCGGCGTAGAAACCGGCGGGGGACGGGGGTCATGACCTCTCCGAACCAAGGGTCTTCCTTCGTCCTTCAACCGGTCTTGGCCTAGCAAAAATAGTCACGTGTTAACCTCTCTATTTACGAGTAGAAGATATACTTGATGTTTGGCCAGGGTAATAG